AAAATCTTAGTTCCACACACAACATGATATATTTAACAGCAAAATATTGAAAAATCGCAATGGTTTGTCCATAGTTGTCATATGGCCGCCCTTCATACGGGTCGACAAATATTGATATTTTCAGAAAAAATAATTAAATTTTGCCTACCCGTTATTCACAATATGAAGCTCCAATAATCTGGCATCGTTGACAACAAGTTCCACACTTAGAAACCCAAAATTGACTGCATAAAAGAGGATTTATGGTCAACTTTGTCCATTTCCGCAATACAAAATATACAAATTATCACGCTCCGTGGGAACGACCAATATGGCCGCCACGCGTAAAATGCGACTGCGATCAGGCTTCAATTTTCGCCCGGCTACAGGGTGGGATGCGCTATCTAGTGTATATGAGATATCTATGGTTAATGTTCTTATTGAATCATTTTATGTCCCCATTGATCATTTTATTGTTCGTTTGAATGTTTAATTTCGCGATTGCGCGAGAGACGCTATCCGCGCTTATGACTGGTATGTACCTATCTAAGTGGACGTCAATTATCAGACTCTCGTATTTTTGTGCTAGTCTGCTAGAATTTTATGTAAGTATATCATGTTTCAGGGAGACGCTGAGCAATTATTGCCAAAAATAACACGTATGTAGAACAAGTGACGCCAAAATTATTTGGATGGTGTCAAATGGTGTCCATTGAACCTCACTCATATTTAATCCCTGCCAGGGGGGAAGGTGTTCCCTCACGTTTGATTTTGGCAGGGGGGATGCCGTTCCCCTGGTAAAAAAGGTGGGGGGACGGCGTTCCCCCTGGAAAACATCACTGCATCATTGGCTATGCAGTAAGTTTTAAAAAGAATGAGACATTGAAATAATGACATAAGTGACTACACAGCTACTCAGTTGTATACAAATAATAAATGTTTATCAGTGCAATGGTAAGAATATTTTCATTCAGTGAAAGATGGAATGTTCCATTCAACAAGGCAACAGCCGAGTTAAATGGAACATTCCATCTTTCACTGAATGAAAATATTTTCATTCAGTGAAAGATGGAATGTTCCATTCAACGAGGCAACAGCCAAGTTGAATGGAACATTCCATCTTTCACTGAATGAAAATATTCTTACCATTGCATGAATAAACATTCATTATTTGTTTTATATAATACCAAAATAGACTAATAGATTCGTATGAGAAGCATTTTGACGAATGCAATTTATCGAACTGAACACAAAGAGTGCACTGGAATAAAACGTATAGTACAATTGCACTCGCAAAGAGTGCAATGGAACGTATTCCATTGCACTCTTGGGAAATGGATTTTCTATTCAATATCACGTGATCATAAACAGCCAATTAAACAATCAGAATTCAATAAGGTATTATATAATATAATATGAACCATTTATATTTAGTCTAGGACCTGCTATGAGTTTGTATGTGTTTCATTTAGCACAGGCACTCTCAACTGTTTTAGAGTAAAATGACGATAGCAGTCAACATGGCATATGTGCCAAAACCTGAATCCAGGACGAAACGGCAGTGTCGACATAGCTCTAACTTCCGAAAAGGAAAAGTGATAGCCTTTCTGAAGTGCTTAGAGTGTTTAGAAGGGTTGCTTTTAGAGGTGGTCATTGAAAGGAAAAATTTGTCTAGTAAGTATAATATTTTATAAGAAAATGACCATGCACAACCCCAGGTAAATTGCTAATTATGCATAAAATAACTAATATGCCTGGCAGAAATTAAATTTTCTTATTTCCTAAAAAAAATTATGTGATGAAACACTATGATTAATTTAATATAATTATTATTGTAGTTTTCATAAGGATTGTCATTGTTTTCTTTAAATATAATACATTTTATTTCACTTACCCCCACGAAAACACGATTTTAGCCATATTTTGCTGTCTTGTTTGCTTTTTATCGCCGAATCTGGCAAATGTTATCCAGTTGTTGTACTTTTACATAATCATAAATGGCTGAAGAAGATTTCAAAGAAGGTTTCGTCAAGTTTTGAAACAGCGCAGTGTATTTTATCTTCGATATTGTGTCCTTCAAAATTTCGTGAAATATGGCACCATTGCAATGGCTCGCTGCTTCTCTGCCTGATAAATGCCACTTCTTCATCTTCCTATGAATTTAGATTACAGTATCCAAGAGTAATTCATTGTAGAATAATCCCAATCGAAAAATTGAAAACATTAGTTGCACTTGAAAGGGGAAAACCTCCCATAACACTTGTTGAGTAACAATCCAAAAGAAGTAATTTAAAAGCCACATGCAAGTTTGCGAAAACTCCTCGTGGGCTACATGACAGGGGGTGAATATTTTCACAAAATGTTTGTTCTCCACCACAGCAACCTAACTAAATACACCATATTTATTGTATTTTTATGATTGATGATAAAAATGTGCAAATATTTATTGTTTTTATCATCAATCATAAAAATACAAAAAAAATATAGTGTATTTAGTTAGGTTGCTGTGGTGGCGAACAAACATTTCGTGAAAATATTCACCCCCCCTGTCATGTGACTTTTAAATTACTTCTTTTGGATTGTTACTCAACAAATGTTATGGGAGGTTTTCTCCTTTCAAGTGCTACTAATTTTTTCAATTTTTCAATTGGGATTATTCTACAATGAATTACTCTTGGATACTGTAATCTTAATACATAGGAAGACAAAGTGTCATTTATCGGGCAGAGAAGCGGTGAGCCATTGCAATGGCGCCATATTTCATGAAATATCGACAGACACAATATCGAAGATAAAATACAATGCACTGTTTCAAAACTTGATGAAACCTTCTTTGAAATCTTCTTCAGCCATTTATGATTATGTAAAAGTACAACTGGATGATATTTGCCAAATTCGGCAATAAAAAGCAAACAAGACGGCAAAATATGGCTGAAATTGTGTTTTCATGGGGGGAAATAAAATGTATTATATTTAAAATGCGAAATAAAATGTATTATATTTATTAAAGAAAACAATGACAATCCTTATGAAATCAACAATAATTATACAATTTCTGCCAGGCATATTAGGTTTGATTTGATGCATAATTATAGCAATTTACCTGGGGTGGTGCATGGTCATTTTCTTGTAAAAATATATCATACTTAGACACATTTTTCCTTCCAATGACAACCCCTAAAAGCAACCCTTCTAAACACTATAAGTACTTCAGAAAGGCTATCACTTTTCCTTTTCGGAAGTTAGAGCTATGTTGACACTGCCGTTTCAAGGCAGGGTCATTTTCAGACATTCGTCCCGGATCAGGTTTTAGCACATATACCATGTTGACCGCCATGGTCATTTTACCCTAAAACAGTTGAGATTACCTGTGTTAAATGAAACGCATACAAACTCATATACAGGTCCTAGACTAATTGTATTAAATTTGATAGCACTTGGCATAGAGTGGATCGATATACCCGGTATACCGGTATTCAGAGCCTGAAATAACGGCCGGCGGTTTTCCGACCAAATTCCGATTTTTCTGACCAAATGCTGAAATGTTCGGAAATTTTGTCCGGCCAAATTTTGAGAAAAAGAAAAATGTTTTCTTAATGATCGGGTCGGTGCTCAGCACAGTGAGTACCATCTGTAAGTTTGGAGTATCTATATTAGGCTAATATAAAGTAATCAACTGGAAAGTATAGTTCACGGGCAGCCTAGTCCCTGGCCTTCCAAGCGCGGGCGAGTTACAGGCTGTTGTGAACTTGCGGGCTGTCAGTTTCCCCAGTCTCCAAATAATACAGCTTTATCACGGTCAACCTGCAAACCTTATCAATTTCCCCCTAAAATAATGAGGCGGAAGCGAGAAGGCCAGGAACTAGGCTGGTTCACGGGCTCAATAAACAAGAAGGTGGCTTACAGCGTGGTGTTGTCGTGAAAATGTGAGGTGAGTCTTAATAATTTGCAATTTAAATCACCCGTCAATCAATTTAAAACACCCGTCGGCTCACGACCATTTTGAATTTTCGCTACAGTTACAATTACCTTACACAATTGCAAGTAGAGTGATTTACTCAGTGCACGTCTGCATGCTTGACAGAGTTTGCTCATTGGGGGGGGGGGGGCGTGTGGACTTGGTCAAACTAAACTAAAAAATATTCCGGTCAATTTTGCAAATTTCCGGTCAAATTTCGTTTTGATCGGAAGTTTTTCCGGACAAATTTTAAAATTATTTCAGGCTCTGGGTATTTGTTTAGACACCGGTATTGGCGATATTGACAATTTAAAAATACCGATATACCGACATTTCGGTATTTTGCTGCCTAATACCGAATTGAAAAGCTATTTCAAGTCAAACTTGCTTACAATCATATTTAGAAAGCAAAGTTAATTAGATTTACATCACCTTGTAGTACTGAATGATTCAACACTTCGACACCCAATCGACGGACTACTAATAATTGCCGCTTAGCGCCGTTAACATAGCTTGATAATGCGAATCTTGTGACATTTGCACTAATAACAGTATGTGCCACATTAATATTTTGTCAAAACTTGATTTTTCTCGACGGTCAGCAGTTCAGTTTGGCTTTAAAAAAAACATGTTAAAAATACCGGTATTCTAATGGCGGTATTCGGTATTTGCGATATCGATCCACTCTAACTTGGCACAGTGCCAGGCTGCTAACTTTGTTGTGCGCAAGGAAGATATTCTGTGCGCATTTTTTGAGATAAAGTGTGTGTGTTTAAGAATTGAAGTCGGGTGCGCATTATGTGAGCACTTTGCACATATTTTTTTGACAAAATGTACTTTCAAAACTACTCAAAAGTTTAATACTTTAGTGATGTCACTGATGTGCGAATTTTCTCACTTATCACCTGAGTGCGCATTGTGTCCCTCCTGTGAAATACAAGTGCACATCTTTTGGCAACAAAATTATATTCGGTGAGCAATTTGTAAAGTTAGCAGTCTGGGCACAGCGCAGATGACTCTGTAGCTGCAGCCACTGAAAATGTGGCTACACAGCGAAAGATGACTAGTGGCTGGGTATTCTGCAATTTTAATTGCCACAGTTTACAACGGTCTAAATGATATCTCGAAATGATATAAACAAATACACAGCATGGATTTCAAGTAGCTGTAGCTGGGCCTCATATCAAACAAAGATCACCATCGAGTGTCTACTTGTATTTGATCACGAGGTATTTCACCTTTTGCACTCCTAGTAACTCCTTATTGTTTAATTGAAACAATATACTAAGAAAAACGTACCTCTGCCTCCGCCACGACCTCCCCTACCACCGCCACGTGGTGGGCCTGCTCCTACAATAAACACACGAAATTTAGCATTCCTTTTAAAAATCACACACTTCTCTTAAACTTTACAACTAAGACAAGTAAATAGCTCTTTAACCTGGTCTTCCCATCGCAAGATACAGCCTTTAGTCAAATTTTAAGAGATAAAATAGCGCTCCCCCAAATATTTTGAGCTTTCAGTATGGCCTGCTCTTTCGAAAAGACTATACCACGACTATACATGAATCTTACATGACATTTATCTACTTGTGAACAAGACACGAGGGCGCATAGCAGCAGATGCGCAAAGCTTCACGGTAACGAGCAAATTTTTCACTCTTGTGAAATCAAGATGGCTGCTTCTCGGATGGCAAAATTGGCTGAAAGCGCACTGTCCAAAAGTGTAGCTGTGTCCACAAGAATGGGAATGAAAGGAATAGGTATATATGTGTTTCTACCCTGTAGCTGTAACGTTGACCTTACACTTATCTTATGCTAATTAATGAGACAAAACAAGTTTCATGGAAAAAATGCCCCAAATCACTGGACCAAATATTATTATATTATAATAGTAAATGTTGCAGTATGTTGCCCTGTTTTCTGACAATACCGGTATTTGGACAACATATTTTAACGCTAATTTTCACTATGAAGAGTTGCAAAAAATTAAAGACAATGAATCCTGTTCTGTGTTTTTGACCTTTTTGCTGCTTTAAATTGCAAGCCCAAAGACTTTGATTTATAAATATGATATAATTATTAATGAAATTCAGCAACTACCAAAAACACAACATGCAGCGCCAGGGAATATGTCACTGGTTACCCCAATTACAGCGACCCCTTAATTACAGGGCCATAGCAATCAAAAAGCGCTTCCTACAGCACTGAATTCCATAATTATGTACAAGTCAAATCCAACCGCGATCAGCCCCCCCCCCCCGGGCAACCCCAGGGCATTTGACTTAACATTACCTCTGTATAGGCGGGCATTTGACCACTTAAGAACTTGCTCAGCGGTTTTCCCTGAAAATATGTGTACATTCTAGCGCTTCACAAGTTTTCTATTTTGCGTCTTTTCGATAGTTTAAACAAAAAGAAGAACTGTCTGGCCTATTTTTCGTTCTTTTTAATCTTGAAATACTTGCTAAATTTAATTTTAGCCAAAATTCCAGAACCAGGACTACCTCTATAGCAGGGCATTTGACTGTGGTTTCTGCCTGTTCGGGTGGGCATTTGACCAATTATTTTTTCAAAAGTCAAATTCCCCGGGGGGGGGCCTGATCGCAGTTGGATTTGACTCGTACATTACATTATCATTAATGAACAGTCTAGACAGTATAACAAACTTGTATATGACATCAGACAACTAACAGCATCCAGGAACCTGGCCTTTCTACATTTAACATATACAAATTTCCATGTACGAGGATCATCAATACTGCATGTGTTGCATAGCTTGTTCTCATAATATCTCTTTAGTCCCAATTTAAAAGCATGCAGTCCTATATCTCTATGATGAAGGTCACAACTTAAAGTATAATAATAATAATATACTTCGAGTATAGGTCAGTCAAAAATGTTTTCTTTAATTAATTGAAATGGCATAGTTTATGGCAAACCTAGACTGCTACGCTTGTCATTTGACAAAATCTTCTGTGCGCAATTTTGCCATCTTATCTGGGAATATATTCAATATTTCCCTCTAATCAATTTCCGTTTAATAATCCCCTCTAATATTCACCTGCAATGTCTTTGCAGCACAAAAAATGAGAAAAAACAACATAACAAAGGCAATATGGCATTAAAAATTATTTCTATTCTGACTCATTAACGCGACCTCGCAATGTGAAAAATAAGTATGTTATTTTGAGGCACCTCGAGAATGTGTGTTTATTCACCTCTGCGCTGCGCGCCTCGCTGAATAAATCACATATCCCCTTGTTGCCTCAAAATAACCTAATAAAAGTATACATAGGCGCATGATGTTATCAGACTAAAAACTTCCACACACAGTTAGCAAACTTAGAAGTCTAGAACAGTTTTTAAACACCAATATTTAATTAACTTTATCTTTGTGTTTGATAAACTTTTGGATTGTGATAATTTTCTTGATTTTGGAATTGGTATACCCTTATTCTGCTAGGAGCAAGACAATGGGCATTGGATATATAATAAGTGCTTTTATTTGTGAATTGTGTGGATGACATTAATGCTTATGTCATTTTATTTCCATTACATAAGCAAGCATGAATTGCAATATTAATCATAAGTAAGGCCATTATTTTGCATTTGAATACAAAAATAAATTGTGGGCCTGAAAATGAACTACTTGTTTCCGATATTAGCACTCCATGAGTTAAAGTGACTTATGTGGTAACATAAAAGATTAAATGACCTCGGTGCTTGAAATAACATTCCAAAAGTTCACAATTATGGTGATTAGCAGGCATGCCTTTCCCTGCCTTTTCTGATTGAAAACCCTACTTTTCTGCAGATCGTAAATACTTTCTTGCCGACCGGTGATTGGCTGTATTCCAAGCCCTGCAACCTTCATTGTTATGATATGATAATTTGATAGGTTATAGGTGACATTACAAAAAGTATGTTCTATGTATGTATGTATTAATTATGTATTAAGTATGTATTAATTTAACAATGCAGTTTAGCACTACAGGCTCCTTATGCTTTGTAATATATATATATATATATATATATATATATATATATATATATATATATATATATATATATATATATATATATATATATATATATATATAAAATTATGTAGGCAGCACATTTTAATTGTATAGAAAATATTAACCTCTCTTCATGTCAGCTAAAAGTTCAGTCAAATCAATATTCTACATATTTAGCAACTAATGGAGACCTGTAAATTTTTTTGTATTTTTAAGAACTTGGAAAAAGATCTCGACCTCACCTCTCCACAATATGGAGTACAGCTCGCATTGAATTGGCCCCACCTATGCCATCAGAGTTTAAAGCAATTCAAAAGAGTTTTATTAATCTAAAGAACAGCCTGGTGAAAGGCAAGTTTCTCAACCTGTCAATGAAGGATGCTGCAGCAAACACACTTGTGGGTGTTGAAATATTCTGCTGGTTTATTGTTGGAGAAATGATTGGAAGAAAGAGTATTGTTGGTTACAACGTTTGATATTCAACTGACTTTGCAAGTGTATTAACATGTTAAAATATAAGATAATATCTGTTAAGACATTGTTAAGACATTGATAATAACTCATTACAAGTTTTACTTTTATTGTGATGTAAAAGTGTGAATTATAGAAATGTCTAATTAGGCATACTGTTAAATATCTGTTGTTCATTATTTATATATCCCCCCTCCCACCCCCATTGTCCAAATATACTCCAAGTATTGCCATGTTATTTTTTATATATAATTTTTATAAACATTTTAACTCATTCAGTGGCAGCACTCTCCCCTTGGCGAGTAAAATCGTCTGGCGTCAGACAGAGTAAATTAATACAGTAGGGTGCATCAGGGTGCTTTGCCACTTAAAGGGTTAAGGTTGGGGGAAAACGGAGAAAACCATCTCTTTCTTGGTTTAACATTTAGCTGATGAAATGTCCATTCTTTTGATTTATAGAGTCACTTGACGTGGTGACACCAATTATTACGGCTTGTTCAATTATGCCATTTGGAAGTAAAATGTGGAAATGTTAAATCAATTTACAATCTTGGAAGTACATAATTGATTTTCGTTCTCTTTTACACAACCCTCATCAGTTTTTCTGTCACAAAACACCAAATTCATGATATTTTCATGTTTTTGCTTGGCTTCAGCTTAATTAATGGAATCTTGATGTGAAGGACAATAAAGTTGGGCATGAAAATGTGCATGGCATTCCATTTAAAATTCTGTTGTGATTGAAAGTAGTTTAAAATACTTAGTTTTGGACAATTTCCATCAGTTTATAATTAATTGAAAATTAATTTTAGACAGGTAGATATTAAGTTTTTCTCCTGTACAACAATTTATAACTTGTGTAAGCCAACGTCGTAGTACGTAATACCCTGGTAATACGTCGTAGTAATGCGTTGTCTTGATCACACAAATTCGGCTGGAGGTTTTTGAAAAATACAAAATTAAAAGTACTGTATTACTATTTTCTCTACTTATCCCCCTAACCCTAGGTTCTATTGTAACCCCCTCCTAATATGGCTTCGCTCGGGAAGCGCTGATAAAGAATAGCCCCCATCTTGTTGTATTGAATACCGTAATCTCAGTATGCCCGTTCGCAGGTTTTAGATTCCGAACTCATAGCGAAATAAAATGTGTTAAAGGTGATCTACAGTCCGATCTGCGCATGTGCACAAATGAGCCCACTTTTTATTATGAAAACAGTTTAACTATGTTTTGAGTTCTTGAAAAGCCTGATTGTTGTTTCTTGATCATTTATTATACTCTAGAAGCTTGAAAATATAAATAGTTGTCGAATAAAGCTCAATATTTTGGACACAAAAAATGTAAACAAAGGCTTTGTTTACATACGAACTGTAGATCACCTTTAAGACTTGCGTTTATTTAATTGAAAGAAATAAAAGTCCAGGTTGTTTCATCAACTTTTCTGAGATGCTCATTAATTATATGTAGTATGATATAAACCATAGATATCTTATATACACTAGATAGTTCATCTCTTTTAGTAAAATTGAAGCCAAGAATATTCCAGCGGTTACCCCCATTTGAATAGATGGCGGCCATGTTGGTCGTTCCCACTTGCTAATAAACGCTTAAAAACAACAATAACTTTCATCATTTGAATATTTTAAAAATGAATTTGGAATAGGGTTAACTTAATGTTTAAGTTCCCTGTTTAAGAAATAGGAAACATACGAATCTTCTAATTTCATGGGAACGACCTGAGACTGCAATCACGGCTTCAATTTTTGAATTGCAGAATAATTAGATGCACTATCTAGTGTATATAAGATATCTATGGATATAAACGCACTTATATGAACCTATGAATTTTTAAGAGAAAGTTGTACAGAGTTTTTTCTCAGTAAGTTGCGTTTATCTTAGTATCGATAATTCTGTAATTTTTTATGAACGTTATTCATTTATATAGTCCCCAGCCTCTATTTAGCCCACCCCGTCTTCCAGTAAGCCCTGACTCCATAGCCACTAGACCTAGGGAAAGTAAGCCCCCATACCTATGGGACAGAATATAGGAAATATGGTGTGCACATGTACTTTTTTCCACTGATCTCATAGGACCACTGATCTCATAGGATCACTGATCTCATTAGGACCGAAAAGAGTATTTTTCCCGCTGATCTCATAGGACCGAAAAGAGTATTTTTCCTCTATTGTACAGTATGTTACCGCTGTCCTTGTTATTTAAAAACATGTTGCTGCTGCTGTTGTTATTTCTTGTTGTTTACGATGATGTTGTCTTTGTTTATTGTTTTGACTGTTACTGTTGCATGTTTTTGTTGCATGTGTTTGTTATTTTGCTGGTGGTGGTGATGTTGCTCTTGTTATTAATTTTGTTGCTGCTGTTCGTGGTGATGTCGCTGTTGGGTCGTTGTTGTTGTTATTTATAATTGTTTTGATCTCTGTTGTTATTATTTTGGTTATGACTTATGTTGTTTAATTGCTGATGTCGTTGATCTTGGTCTCTTTTTGGGTGGCACAATCTTTCATAGCATGTTTTTCTCACATTCCTAATGAAGCTGTTTTTAAGATCTTGACTTACAATGATAGACAAGTTTCGTGAAAAATTGCTGTGTATATTATATATGCACTGTGAGACAAATAGCACACAAATCACTTTTTGAAGCTTCTTAAACTTTTATATTATGCGTTTCTGTTGTATATTCTGCCATTACCAACATACGTTTATGCCATAAAAAATATAAATAGACAGTATATATTAAGCGTTTTTACTATCTCGTGAAAAGTCAAAAGGTCTTCCCCCGGCCTATACTTATTGAATTTCTCAAGACAAAATGGTTTTTACGTCATTATTTTAATATTTTGTCTAATTTAGTAGCAGAAACTGAAGATCGCCTGTGTATTAATTGGTTTTATCTTCGACTAAAAACCCATGCTGGCAATCAAGGACAAGCTGGACTTCTGGAATGTTCAACCTCGAATGGTAAGTATGTAGAACAAAGTTATTTCAACTGATTTAATTTTTGCATGGAAGAGTGACTCTATTGTTGGGACTGATATTGCGTTTAATTGCCAATATACTGATTAAATGCGTATTTGCCCCCTTATACTTTGTTAAACCCCGCCGTACTCAGTTTTAACAAATAAAGTGTTAGTCTGCAAAAACGCCGTTAGCTGAATTTACCAACGGTTTCTTATAATAATATATTTTCGTGTTTTAAAGCGACGGTATTTTGGGCAATGATGGCTTGAGAAATTTAATTTCATGCATGTTTTCAACAAAAGCCTATCCATTGGGGGTCAAAACTTTGAATACTTCGTGAATATTTTGCTATAGCTATCACGGCTCCCTGGTGTGCTAAAAAATGTATGCAATTTTGACAAGTCACAGCGACTCTTCGCCGTGACAGGCTTCGAGAGTTCGAGAGTTGCCGACTAGTTGACGCAAGTACTTTTCATCTTCAGTAAATGATAACGGGAGAACAATTTCCTTGGTCACAAAAGATAGGAAGTATGTAAGGATATTGCTGATTCAAGTTTAAAATTTCACAGTTTTCGCTACTGCTTGTCAACGCAGAGTATTTGTAGAAAGGCGTTGGTGAAGCGTTCGCCTACACAGTCGCTGGACTTCGACATTTCTGACAAAATGGCTTCAAATGCCGGTATTTTATTGGTAAGAACTTATGAAAGAAGCAACGTTTATCTTATTTGAATATTGTTATTGTGTACTAGTACGGCGAACTATACTTCGTCTAATATTACAGTCATGCAGTACTTCTAATTTCACTACTTCAGCGAAGAGGGCCATACATAGCATATTAATTGTACAGGGTATATACGGTATGATTGGGTATGACACGAGTCGACTTGTGACAATGGCATTCCCGCCAACAAGACTAGCTGTTCTGTCCAAAATTCACAATAGTATTATTTGTACAATGTCAATGAATGCTAAAGGCAGCCTTTCATGCAATAGCAATCTTTTCATTTGACTGTGATAAATTAATATCGGTTTTTATTAGTTTTAAGTAAGTTTCTCTTTCGGCTTTCTTATATGGCACACGTTCCCGCTTGGTTCCTGATGAAAAACTCGTTATAGCCGGCTATGGCAGAATTGTTTCTATAGTATATTGCATATATTAGCTATGACCTATGTGTATATGTCTCTCTAATATTATGCAGTCTATAAACATCGTAAGCATTTTATTTTTCTTCCAACTGGAACTTTTTAACTCGATTTTGTTCAATCAATAGTGCATGTAATACAACTATCGTGTATGACTCGCACCGTTACTAATAATGGCATTGCCATTGACATTGTAACATTAAGTATAGAGCGTCAAGCGGATACTTGAGATAAGCGCGAGTGGGCTGTGTTTGTTTTGAGCTAGCCCCTATAATATCGGCGGTTATACTGCATGACATGCAGGTACTTCGGTTTAACTTGCAGGTGTCGGAGAACTTTTTATATTTGACACGTCTTTAAAACTAAAATCTTAGAATAGCGCCGTTATATTAACATGCAAACTGAATACAAACGAAAAGGGGTTTACTCCATCAATATTGACAAACCGTCGAAAGTTTTATTATTTTGATTTTGAATAGAGCTGAAGGTGGACTCGTACCTTTCTTCCATATTTGATCTATATTTTAGCCTAGATATTAAGCCTGATTGGCCAAGCTCAATAAGTGTGCTTTAATTTTAATTAAATGAGGCTTTACCTATCGAAAACATGGGATTAACGTAGACAAGTTTTAAAGACTTTAAGAATTACGCGTCGATCATACATAATCGTCAATGCTGGATGCTAAATTATTCAAATAATGTATACCTAATTTGAATATTATCGTCTCCAAACATCAACAATCCGGCGTTGCTCTCTTTGAAAACAAAATAAAGTGATATTTGGAAAACGATATAGTATCGAAGAATTATAATTGGAAGACGTTCTTATCGACTATTACACGTATACACAGAAATTAGACACGCTAACAGCTTCATCTTGCCACGGCCATTTTTTTTTCGTATAGTCCATACTATATAAAGTGATGAATTTTTAGTTGTAACTTACAATGTTTAGTCCAAGTAAATGGATTTACAAATGGAAAGCAAACGATTTCAAATGAATATAACATCTTCAGGAAACAATGTGTTTGTTTTGTGTTGAAATTGAATCAATTGCACGACGTTTTTGAACACTTTGCAGTAAATACAGTTCTGTTTCCTTGTTTGCTGATTTGCATTTGAGTTAAATATGGTTCTACTAACAGTGGTATGTATGGTCATAATGTTTTGTGTTTTATGTTATTTTTTTACATCATGAAAATAAAAATGTTGAGGTGTATCAGATGCCCCAGAATCCAGATCGACAAGTGTATTATCGCGTGTACTATATAACGATATAATAAGTGTTCCATCTTAGTGAATTATTCGATACTCATTTCCTTTGGCTTTGTGTGTGTAAAAAAGAGGCCAATGGTGTACAGAACCAACGTCTTTGTCTTCTATTTCTATCAGCACGTGCAAAATTTTACTGTATGTTGCTATAGTAGTATAGTCTATACATGTAATATGGCATATTTGGCCAATTATAAGCGTTAACATGCAGAGTTGCACCTTTTAAAACCTTGTAACTAAACGTGTAACTATAACCTTGCTATATACAAGCTCGATTGCTCTAATCCATATCCCAAGTGCATGCTGCATTCAATGAGTGATGAACTAAAGTTCATTTTCCACGCGAAAATGACCGAATCATGCACATGGACATGGTTGGTATAATTACTATTATGCCTTATGGAAGTGATATTTCATTCGCTTAAATAAAATTCAAAAAATATTTTTTTATAATTTATTTAGCAATACAAACGAACTTAGATAATTGCTTGGAATAGAAAAAGGTCGAATGTTAGAATAATTTTAAACCTCAAATATTATAAATAGTAATAGGTATTTATGCTCTTTCCGGAAGTATATTTATAATAAAATAAGGCCGTAATTAGTCATGGGGAATAAAACTTTGAATGCTTTAAAAATTCTTGCTATCATGGATCTATAGGACTCTAGCTACTAGCTGATGATGGTTTGATCGGACTTAGGTATACTAATCTCGTGTTCGTAGTGCTGAAATGTTATACTAATATCTCTTTTGTCTAGGGTGAACATGTGTGGCTTGCCCCAGAAACAAAAGGTGAATTTGACGTCGCTATTGGTGGTGTGGTGAAGCTCTCAGACTCCGGACAGATTGCCATTGTTGATGATGAAGGAAATGTAAGTAGTATACTTTTATTTTTCAGGGTAAAAATCAAATTATGAGATGATCGTCACATGAAAGCCTATAGTGGTTCAGTCTTCTTCCTTTTTCAAGTTACGGCATTGACAGTCTTGTGACAAGTTTTTAAATTGATTGTTATAATCTTGTTAGCAATCTGACAACTGCATCATTACCGTCCTTTGTATAGAAGAACGGAGATAGATAAAAATATATATTATATGTTCACGTAAAACGTTCTAGATCTATCAAGAGCATTTGATATGTCTAAACTGATCAGCCAATTAATATACGTTTAATTAGCCTCATATGACCTGATTGCTGATGAAGTGAAACATTGACAGTTTCACTTCAAAAAGGCAATCATGCATGTTATAACAAGTATAAGTGACTGTTCATTCGTGCATGCAATCAACTGTAAACTTGAGAAACAAGTTTGATATACTGTAAGCATAGTTAAAACTGGTCCGGTCACACAATTCACTAGCAACGAACATGGCGTTGTTCTAATTAGTGTTTGTACTTTCATTGAAAAGACTTCTTAAAATATTTTAAAAGTTAACGATCTTTACATCGTTCCATCTCTTTTATTTTATTCTCGATGTTTAAGGTGGTTTCACATTTAGACAATGGCAAATTCTGACGTCACACTGCGTAATCTCTCACTCTTAGAATTTTAAATATGACATGACGCGAATTTTTTTCTTCTACTGTTTGAAGGAATCGTCTGTATGACTTCTTTTACACGTTTACGTATTTACATGGTGGTATATTTCAATTTTGTTCATGTTCATCGTCAACAAATTTACGTCACACTTTGCAAAATGAGCCAATGAAACACTTAGATATTTATGTGTATTTATCTGGCCAATCATTTGGAAAACTTCGTTTGCATGCATGTATGTACATAACACAACGCATGTACATTTTGAAGTGATTTAAACCAGTTAAAAAAGATAGCTCATAGCCTCATATTGAATGAAGTAACATATTGAACTTGTTTACATCGCGTAGCTTATATTGAATGAAGTGATAAAAACTTATTTATATGCATGGCCATGGATATTCTCACCAATATCTGCATTCTGTAAACATATTTACTGTACAGTTTTGGCGGATGTGACAGTGATAACCTTTCAACAACTTGAAACAAGCATGGATGATTCGATTACATAACAAAATAAAATGTGAATTTTACAGCGTGTAAGAATATAAATGCAGAATGTTTTCGTAACTCACAAATTTGGTGCATCTTTACTTTCTAGGAACACTGGCTACATAAAAGAGATGCTGGTACACTCAAACGTATGCATCCATCAAGCGTCGAAGGAGTGGAAGACATGGTATTGCATACTAGGTTTTTAAATTTTTGCATGGACCTAGAAAATGTAAAATTGCAGCATGTGAAAATTTCGATCATTCCCAAATTTATTTCTGACTTTAAAAGGTTTTGTGACCCAATCGATGGATGACAACAGCATCTCGCCAATTAATGTAACCCTGGGACTGATTGCATGACAATTAAATAATATATGTATATAGTTTGTAAAGTTGCAATAATTACAGTTATATATACATATATTTCATACATATATGTATTTATTATATAGTAGAGAGTGAGATACTGAAAAATACACAGTGAAATATTTTTTCATATCTTCACTAGTGAAGATATCGATCACGTGACTTTTTCCAATTTGCTTTTGAGCGTGAAATTTCACAATCTTTTTGCTTGGGACTATAATAAACAGAACATAACACGGTGGCTTGAAGATATGACTTTTATCTTCTCGTGTTAAAAACAATATATTGTTTTCACCACTTGAAAATAAAAGTCATATCTTCGCACCGCCGTGTAATATCCTCTATGTAGATACAAGTTCAATATTATTCAGATTTGGTAAGTCACAAACATTTTAAACAAATAATTGTTGCCATAAACTAAATTCACCAATATACAATTACTTTATGGTTTCCGTGTTTGGATGGCCTGATCCAAACACGCGGGAATGTTGCGAGAGTTAAGAAAAGCGCGCGAAAACACGAGCCGAAGGCGAGTGATTTTGCGCGCTTTTCTTAACTCGAGCAACATTCCCAAGTGTTTGGATCAGGTCATCCTAACAGGGAAACCATAAAGTAATTGTTTTATAAAATAACAACAACACGATAGTCTTCCGTGTTTGGATGGCCTGATCCAAACACGGGTTTCGACCAATCAGAGCACGCGTTATATACATGTTATTTTATAATGATTAATCTGTCATGACATGCAAGTACTCTCACCAATCCCCATTTTCTTCGTCCCTGTAAGATGTCCTGCTGCATGCTTGATTAATGTTTACCACAGAAATCAGGGTGTTAGCTACAGTGAAAAATTCCGCGTTAAACGCGGTTAGTTTCCCAATTATCTTGAGGTCGCAATTTACCAATTTAGGTAAGCCAAAAAATAGTTATATCATAAATATTCAATTGTTTTTTCCCCCAATTTCAGTTAAACGCGGATTTTTTGTTACTTCTGGCGGCTAACATCCTGGAAATTTCTATGACTGCATCAATGATAATGTTCATAATTACTACATGCAGGTACAACTAATCTTTCTCTTCCATTTAGATTCAATTGGGCGATCTGCACGAAGCTGGGATGCTCCACAATCTTTTTATCAGATATTATAACCATAATATATATGTAAGAAAAACTTTATCGTTCAATATATGTTATATACGCATGTGCATGCTTATATATCCAGCGCGTATTTCAGGTTTTGCTTGACCTGGTCGGCTTATTTCCATAGTGCAATAGGCTACTAGTATGTTTTCAAACAATTGATGGAAGTGAGACTAAGTTTCATGGAAATGCAATGAGAAACTATTTTCAATAAGAATATCTGTACTATATTATATGCATGCTCATGTTTTTCGACGAAATAAGGTGTGGTTAAGATTATATATAATCATTTTTAGACTTACACTGGATCCATATTGGTTGCAGTAAATCCATATCAACTTTATCCAATCTACGACTCTGAGCACGTACAAAAATACAAAAATCAAAAGATCGGTGAACTTCCTCCACATATATTTGCCATTGCAGACAACGCATATCACATCATGACCAGGGAAAAACGTGACCAGTGTATCCTCGTCAGGTAAGAGTCGTCTCCTGCTTCATTGCGTTTTCATGGCACAGTCATGCCCCACCCTACGTGTCTTTTCTAGGTGTTCTCACCCCTGGATAACATTGTATAAAAACTTTGTTATCCCTGCATGGGTGCATGTTAATTTTAATAAACATCAATTATTGTGAAAGACAATAGTAGTAATTAAATATTTTCATAACTTTAATTGTGACTTGAATTGTAATTACCTGATTATATATATGCTTGAAAATTCAAACAGTACATAATGAAATGTACGTTTCAAGTACAAATATTCCATTTCATAGCTGTTTGCTAGTAACCCATATTTTCCTATAGTATATAGAGAACGTACAGTATACATGCTTTTCCGGGTTTGTATCTTTGTTCTCCACAACAATTGTACATGCATGTACAGAAATTTCCAATTCAATTTATCTAAAATCTTCAATTCTTTTCTATCCCACAAAGGTAACGAGGCGGATCACTAATGCACAGTTTGCTTTACAAAATATCTTGACTATCCCCATACTCACTTCGCACTTAACCTGTACATTTGACTGTTGCCTGCACAAGGCGTATTGAAATATTATGAAATAGCTGTATATGCACTTTAAGAAAAACAATATGCAGTAGAAACTCCATACTGACAACGGACACCATGCATGGCTGCAGACGTTTGGGGCTATGGAGCGACGCTACCTCCATAGTCTAAGGAGCTAACTCCAAATTCAAAACGCTTCAAAACTTCAAACTTTAGTTGAATTAAGAATCCTAGCTGATTACAGGCTAACTCCAAAAATCATATGTGGAAGCAGTAGATGTAGTTATCTAAACCTGGATTTACTGGCTGGCTACCTGCACATAAATATAATCTTTAGGCATGACGGACAGCTTGGCACTGAAATTTGTAGGCAGAGAAAATAGGTATACATGCAAGATGCAGTCACAGACAGGTTTTTCTAGCTAATGGGTGTATGTTTCCACAGTTTTCCGGGCCGACATACACGTATTAAACTATATAGAGGCACTGGGATAATCGTTTGTGGTTGAGTGAAGCAGTAACTGGCAAATCATATGCCAACAGCGATCATGCGAGGAAAACGCCAAAACGAGAGGCTTTTCACTTCCAACTTGTACATATTGAAGCTGCTGCATGGCTGTCTTGGTCTCGTCCAGGTTTCCTGTATTGCAGGTTTTCCCTTGTCTCCCTGATTATCCAGCTTTAAGCATGCCTACCTGGTCAATGCTCTGCATTGTTCAAACACAACCCGTATATCATCGTCTGGAAAGAGCAATGTTCTGTATGATTTAATGATCACAGCTATATGTCGTCTATGGGGAATATAATTTTGTGTATTTGTGGAGTCGAAGTGTTCCCAATGGTCATCTTCAGGCCTATATAGACTCAGGTTATTTAATGTAAATATAATCAGTTCAAGGGGATTATGACCATTTCGTTCCATATATTCAACGGGCTTGGATCATTAGCATTAGCATTGACAGTATTTATATACGAACTGTCCGCTAAATAGGAATTGTTTTTAATTGCAATTTAGACGGTGGTCAACTCGAAAGCCTTTTGCTACTTTGGCCACTGTACATATGTCGATTATTATACACCTTTATATTTTTTGGCTCCATAATATAGATGTAATTTGTAACTCATACTTTTATAAATAGACCTAGTGTGTTAAATACTAAATAAATTAATATTCTTCTTCTGCATATAGTCAGACAGTCTGTAATCAGAATGTTTTGTGTTGCTTTGAGGTTTCAATAATAAGGGCATTTTAAGAAGAAAAAAATCAGGGCTTGAGCTCATTCTCTGTTGTATGGATGTGTCCGTTGTACAGTGTGGCCATTACTAGAGTTCCAGTGTACATAATTACCTGTACATATTTTCTGGATTACCTTTTTAATACCGATCATGTATTTTTACATGCAGTTTTGCATAATATTTCTGTTTGAAATTGTATTCCAGTGGTGAGAGTGGTGCTGGTAAAACAGAGTCAACAAAATTGATCCTGCAATTTCTGGCAGCCATAAGTGGTCAACATTCGTGGATTGAACAGCAAATTCTTGAAGCAAATCCAATTATGGAAGGTAGAAAAATCTGAATGTTTCTACACATTACGTTTCGTTTTGTACAAGATCTTCCTTTAGAAGATTTAACCGGAACTTACAAACTAAGCTTGTTAATTCTAAGTCCTTTTCGCTATTAATTTAATAATTGATCATTAATAGGCTATTGATTTTCAAAGTGCATATAAATTATTATTAAGACTGGGCAATTCCTGCTTAACCTCTTATATTTTAACACAAGTGCAAATCCCCTACAAACAATGCACTGTGTTTGTAGGGATGCGAAATGTATTCTATATGTGAACTTTACTATTCCTATTAAGGAAATATATATTCACTCTCTTTAGCGTTCGGAAATGCAAAAACCGTCAGAAATGACAATTCCAGTCGATTTGGAAAATATATTGACGTACATTTCAACAAAAACGGAGTAATTGAAGGTGCAAAAATTGATCAATATTTGTTGGAAAAATCTAGGATTGTTTATCAGGTAAGGAATATCGAGGATTGACCTTTAACAGCATTGACCCAAAAGAATCCCACAATGCACTGTGCATTCCAGACGCCCTCTGTATTAAAAAATGCGTGACGTAAGCACTCCTAAGGTCTATTAAGTAGAAAAAAGCTTGTATAGCTATTGTTGGCATACTGTAGTTCAATCCTGCTTCATTTCGTGAATACTATATGTTGTTTCCATGCTTATTTTATCCCTCATTAACCCTAATATTTACTCAAAGTTTTCTTTCTCTTTTATAAAAGTTGACCTTAACATTTTAAGCTAAAGTAACAGGTTTAAGCTTATCAGCTTCGGAAAGACCGGGTTATTAAAGTGAATGTTCTTTCCTGTTTTCAGATGGACCAGGAACGAAATTATCATATATTTTATCGAATGTTGGTGGGTTTGAAAGCTGAAGAAAAGCGATTGTTAAAGTTAACACGTGCAGAAGATTACTATTACTTGACGCAAGGTGGAAGTACCACGTGCCCTGGCATGGACGACGCAGAGGAGTTTGCCATCATACGAGGCGCTATGAAGGTTGGTATCTTGAGATTTTCTCATATATATAACATATATATGCAATATATACTGTATTTGTTTGCCAACTATCAGAATTAAACAAATAATTCGAAATCAAAAAAACCTGTTACAGGATGTTCTTTCTTCAGTAGTACAACTATGCTTGTTGAGCGAGAATCACAATTCAGCTTTGGCCAGTTTGGGTGAACCAACATAATATAAATTGTTAATTATTATTTTATCTCTTCTTACGCGCTTTTTCTATCACTTTCCCATACCGTTCTTTTTTAGGTGTTGCTGTTCACAGAAGACCATTGTTGGGAAATTTTCAAACTTCTAGCGGCTATTCTTCATATTGGCAATCTGGAACTTCTACGTAAGTTTGATACAGTTGATAATTGACAGGTTCAGAAATGACTTCATCTACTGCTAGCATGCATTAACCAACCAGATGCGTACTGAGCCAGTAAGAGGTGCAGTATATAGTAGTGCAGGAAGTGAAATATGAATCTCTCTGTTGTATACATCAGATAAAAAAAGTTGAATTAAATTTATCATTTTTAAGAAAAGAATCCCTTAAAATACATATTAGTTAAAAATTTCAGTTTTCCACCGAAAAATATTTTATAAAACTTATAATATGTTTTACAGCTGCAATGTCTGGTAATTTGGATGCAACAATGATCGAAAATAGAAAGCTCCTAAATACCATTGCACAGTTACTCGAGGTTAGTATCCCATAGACCTCCCCGCGTCAGTGGCGACACCACCTTTGTTCTGCATTAGGATCTACCCAAGGTCTCGTGCAGGCCGAACACTCTCAAGCATATCTGTATATGTAGCGTGTTTGTGAATATTCAGTGATAGCGATTGGATAATATCCGCTTTTTCGTCAGCACTAAAATATTACTCTCTCAATCTTATACTGTTAATCAGCATTTTATTACAAAGTTTACCAGGGAACTCTTCTGCTATCAGGCTATATAGCCACATTCGTGGAGCATGCGTACCTATTTTTATGTAGGTCTATTTAATAAATTTTATTCTTTACAACCAAATAACGTTATTTTGGCCCAAGTACTTGATTTATCTAATTTTTATTTAAAAAATCCATGGATATTAATGGACTTCAACCAACTTATAATGACCAATTTTTTTGTAGGTGCCTGTTGATAAGATGGTTGATGCATTGACCACAAGATCAACTTTGGCTCGCGGGGAGCTGATCTATTCTCCGATCAGTGTTGAGCAAGCAGTCAATGTTCGAGATGCACTTGTAAAAGGAATCTACGGAAGAGTCTTCATTTCAATTGTGGAAAAAATCAACACAGCAATTTATGATCCTTCTGTAAGTGTGCTTCACCCTATCGATACATAGTGACGAGTGGAGTCGCATTCATAACTAAATATACAGGGTGTATGAAAAAGGTAATCCAACTTTAGCATGATGCCATTGTGCGTTAATTACTTGGTGCATGAACGTAATATTTTCATAATCATAAAGATCACTCTTTTGATTGTTGAATGACATGTTTTTCACCATTATAGAGAAAAAATGAGCAAATATACGAGTCCGACAAAAATTGTTTGTAGAAATCGCATATTTTAACCTCTGCGCCTAATTAAGCAGTGCATGCATAACAAAAGGAAAAGCAATTAATGACGAATGTGTCATTTTCACAATGTCATTTTTTTCTCCATATTGGTTGAAAAACGTGTCATCCTACAGCTAAAAGCCTGATCTTTATGGTTATGAAAACAATACATTCATGCACCAAGTAATTAACGCACAATGACATGCTAAAGTTTGATTACCTTTTTTATACACCTTGTATATTAGTAATTTTCTGTAATTATATGGATGCATATATATATATAAACACTGCATGATATAATTTCTAGTCAACAGCGATACACAGGTCATCAATTGGAGTACTGGACATTTTTGGCTTTGAAAATTTTGGTAAAAACAGGCAAGTGTTTTCAATATAATTATGATTTAACTATAGAGTTCTTTAATTCCATACGATTTATCCATGCACGTTCTATTTTCAGGATTATTAATTCTCAAACATGACCAGGGTTGTACAACTATTTATATATTATATCCAACAAATTGATATCCTTTTTGAATTTTAGTTTCGAACAGCTTTGCATTAATTATGCAAATGAGAACTTACAACAGTTTTTTGTGAGACATATCTTCAAACTTGAACAGGTAAGCTTGTCATCAATCATTTTCTGCATGTAATATATAGACATAATAGTGAGTCCGTTTAATTTAATAAATTTATCCTGCCTGCATATTTACTTTAAATTAGTAGGAAAAATTCATGTACAATGTTGAACACCGCAACTTTGAGATTGCCCTCCTGAGATTCAACTGCAAAATTTAAGATCTACCTGTAAGGAATAACGATGTCACACGAGTGGCGCGTATGGATATGCTTCGTTGACCAGTTTTTAACGTGAATTGTAGCAGAAAAAAGAGACAGCGAGCAGTCAGAGAGGGAGGGCCATGGTACGGTAATACCTGAATCAACAAACTGATCAGCGAAGCACGCATGCGCTTGTCATGTGACTGCGTAATGACGTGCTGCGTGATGGCGTTGTAATGTTTCAATGCTGAACGATTTTCTTCTAAACAGGTTTTAAATCGTGTAACGTCTTACACATTGTACTTTTTATTTTATTATAGGATCATTACGACCAGGAAGGGATTAAATGGCAACACATTACCTTTGTTGATAACCAAGACATTTTAGACATGCTGGGTCAAAAGCCGATGAATATAATCTCACTGATTGACGAAGAAAGCCGTTTTCCCAAGGTACGCAAAAGTTGCTGCTCAAGGTGACTCCCAACTGTTTATTTTGGAATGTGGAAAATTTGTGATTTGTGCCGATTGTGAGTTTTTGAACAGTTATTACTTATTGAAAAACAAAAATGACGTTCGTATGGTAACCAAGAACAAATTTTATTCGTAATTTTGACTAATCAAAAACATTACTGGTCAATGTTTTTCGAGTTAATTAATCCCCTTAATGAGAAAAATCTATCATATCGAAGCGTCATTGTTGTCGCTAGTATCGGCAGTGACCTGATTTTTCGGATATTATTTTCTACAAGTCAGATACTATTTCTTTCTCAACAAGTAACTTCTTGGCAAATGGCAAGGATGGGGGCTGCCCATTCTGTTCCTTCCGTTCTGGTGTTCATGATGGCGTAGCTGAATCGACAACTAAGATCACTTTTTGCCTCGCGTGACGGAAGGGTTTGAAATAACGGCCGCTCAACGGACGTTGTCCAGTCAGAAGTGAGCATTGACCGAACAAATCACTGGATCGCCGGTCATGTTGTTCATCGTGTGCTTTAAAGGAAATTTAATTTTCAGCAATTTCATTCAATTGCGCAAAATTAAATTTTTAATTATAACAAAAGCGTATAATAGACATAAATGACACGCGAGCCTCCTGTAGCGTGGAACTGTATCTCAGAATATATGCACAGACCACCCTTTTAAAGACCATCCTTTTTAGATACGTTTAAATAGATTAATTTTATTAACTAAAAGTGACTATTAACAAGGCCATTCGTTATAGCCATGAACGGCAAGTGTGACTGGACAACGTGACCATGCAGGAAGTGTCCTGCTGTTATTTCAAACCCTGCACGGACGCAAAAAAGTCGAAGTGAGCTGAAACCGTGTCTCTTACTTAACTTTCTTTCTGTTAAGGGGACCGACCAAACTATGCTGAATAAACTAGTACGTAACCATGGAAACTCAAGGAACGGTCATTTTGTTGCACCTATTCGACAGACGGACACAAGATTTGGCATAAATCACTTTGCAGGCTCGGTTTTATACGAGAGCACAGGTAACTTAATATCGATCTGAGCAAATAACTAGTAAAATTTTATATGCTGAATAGATTAATAGCGTAATGAAAGGTTTGGGAATAAGAAAATGCAGCGCTGGGAAATTAAAATTAACGCAGGAAAGAAAATTTAATAACGTACTATAGCTAGCTGATACTATATGAGGATTCCAGTTCCTTCAGGCATTTTATTAACTGTACGGAATAGCGTAAATTTCGCCCATCAATATTGAAGATTTCGTACTAATACAGTAACTATCATGCATAAATCTTAATGTAACGCTCTAGGAGAGAAAAATTGTTGTAGCTAACCTTCATATATGCAAGCGGTTATAATTATAAAACCAATTCTCGTTTTTTCTTGAGTAAATGCTATGCCTGATCTGAACACGTTTTGTGATTGGTTTTGTGAACAAAGGTGATCAGTGTTTGACTCGTTCTTGATTTTTATATTTTATTGACATAATCAACCAATCACAAATCTTTTATACAGGTACAGGGACCCTTTTTCTTGGACATAATTATGACAGTGAATTTCCACAGATGCAGATATTTGTATATAATACGTATTAGCATAATCTATGCAAACTGGCTATCTGACTGTTCTATAATTATTATACTAGATGACCAATATTTAATACGTTTCTACACATATTTTTTTAACATTAAAAAATATGGTTTATGTTTTAGGATTTCTCGACAAGAATCGAGACACATTCAGTGCTGACTTGATAGATTTGATTTCACACAGCAAATGTGAATTTTTGTACAGTTTGTTCTCTCGAGAAAAATCCATGGTAAGTGTCTGTGAGTGCATCCTTTCAAAAGGCCATTGACTCGAATTTCCATATCAGAAACCATGTGATTGCCATGTTTTGAAATGTCTGGCAACATTGTCAATGGCTACACGCCAATGCTCACCAAACCTTGTCCTTAAAGGCCAGTTTCTCCAATATAAAGCATGCCACATCTGCATGAGATGCTGTAGATGAGATGGGAGGAGGTTGCACGTGAAATGGTGCTCGACATGGTATTGAGATTTTGGTCCCGAAATGGTGGTGGCCGAATCTATAAAATCACAGGTTTTGCATTTGGCAAACCGGCATCGAGATTGAACGCACCTCCTCGTAGCCATTAGGACAGCCGCTAATACGCTAGGCCATGAGAATTGATTAGATCAAATACCACATGATTTCTGCGATTTGTTCTGATGACATGCACTCGACAAATAATCCTATCAGAATTAAACAGTCCGACGATGCAGATATAAAATACTCTATACCCCAAGGCTTATTCGATAATAGCGTAACACACTTTGATCATATATTTGTAGCTGATGAATCCAGAAATACCGATAATACGTTCTAGTTGGAATTCTTTATTAGGGCGAAGACACAAGAAAAAGATCTCCATCACTTGGGGCGCAATTCAAGAAATCTTTGGATGCTCTGATGAGAACACTTCAAGCATGCCATCCATTTTTCGTTAGATGTATCAAACCTAACGAATTCAAGAAACCATTGGTAACCTGTGTTTTTGTACAGAATTTTACATAGAGACCCAACTAGGGTGCGAATTAACGGCTTACAAATTAAATGAGAAATTGTCAATCGAAAAAGCCGCACAAAAAATTAGCGGCTGACAATTTCATGGAAAACTTTATAGGTCAACTTTTCAGTCGGTTTTAAACATCAATATCAATTGCCAGCAGCATATCATACAAATGAATCAATTAAAACATTTTATATTGGAATTTATTGCCCAAAACTAGCATGGCCAGCAATTTTTGAAGATAATTATAGGCCAGATAACTCTTAATTCGCACCCTGGAGACCTTGTGCATGTAATTTTTGGTTCATAACGTTTGCTTAACCTTGTGTCATGGAATTCGATTGACAGGCAGGCTCACTTGGGAAAACAGTATTTTACTATGAATAAAGCTTCTGTTCTATAATAAAGATCGGTAGTTTTGTTGTTTTTAGTGATTATTAACTACCACATTATGTATTCTTGTAGATGTTTGACAGAGAATTGTGTTGCCGTCAACTGCGTTATTCTGGAATGATGGAAACAATCAGGTACATTCTTGAAAAGGATTTTTGAAATAAAAACCCAGCAAATTGTGCAGCATATATACTTGTTTACGCTGTTGCGGTGTTTATGCCAAGTTGTTAGCTTGTTTTGCATTATACAGTTGACTGTTTCGAATTACAATGTACAACTGGTGTGGTTGCATTCTTTGGTGTTGTTGATCTTACCAAATTGAAGTATTCCGACCAACGTTAGCATGCGTGAATGCGATCCGCCATCTTGAACTGATTTTAAAGTGCGTGTTACGTCAAAATCGGATAATTCGTTCTTAATCTTCGTAATTCCAAGTTTGCTAGTTAATACTTGATCAGCTTTTTGCTAATTTCTGCATGCTTGTATTTCTTCAGAATCCGTCGTTTAGGCTACCCTATCCGCCACAAGTACGCTGAATTTGTGGATCGATATTATTTGCTGGTAAAAGGAATGAAAGCTAAAGAACCAAATCCCAAAGAAGCAACAAACGTGATTGCCAATTTAATACTACCTAAGGAGGACTGGCAGCTTGGAAAGACAAAAATATTTCTTAAGGCATGTAGCTTGGATTTTTACCTCCATACTTTTCCATGTATTTACTGCAAGTCGTCTTGACAGAGGAGGGCAGTTTTAGAACGTATAACTGTTATAATTTATAAGTTATAAGTTCTTATATAATTGTTATACTGATCGCCAAGAGATCATTGAGTCCTCAATACTTTTTCTGACACAAAGTTTGTATCCTTTCAAAAGCCGTGCATGTATTTTCTCCTAAGTTAAGTAATTATATGATCCATTTCCACTCCAATTTAAGAGGTGCCAACTTCCTCCTTTCCATTCTTTTTCCGATCCTTATTTGGAAAGGTAATTTCAACTCCATGCAGCAAAGTATGAGAATACTAGTTTATACCAGGGGAATTTAACTACCTCTAGCTTGAAATAGAGTTTCAAATTGTTTATATACTGCATGCTTAAATGTTTTATGTGTACTTTTTGTGAACGTTACAACGACGCAGGGCATTTTTGTCTATTTCGGTTAAATTTCGATTTGATCTATATGGTATCTTTGCTGATCTATATGGAGCGCTTTCCATTGAATGGCCTGACCGGTCAGTCCCGAATTCTTTTCTCTGTATCAATGGAAAGATCTGGTCTATGTTTCTCAAATATCCAGTGAAAATGGACCTCATTCTAATGTTATCTAAAATTTCAGGTCAGATAGGTCCGAAGCCCAAATGTTTTGTGTTTCATTCAACAATTTGACCGTTCTGACTGATCTGGCCGTGTTGATGGAAAGCGCCCTATATGGTATCTTTTGGTACATTTACTTCAAACTAAACAATTATTATGACATTTTATTCCATTCTCCTAGACTGTTAATGTTACAAATGCTGTCTAGCGAGTGAATGACCAACAAATGAACTAAAACACGACTTTAATGTTGTTTTTGTTGAAACTCTTCAGGACGCCCATGATATCAAACTGGAAACGTATCGTGATACTGTAATGGCGAAGCAAGTGGTGATCATCCAGAAAGTGTTCCGCGGTTATTTCTACAGAAAGCGTTTCTTGCAGCTCAAATTCTCCACCATTATATTGCAGAGAGCTTGGCGGGCTCGTCGAGAAAGAATACGCTTCATAAGGGTACGTTCAGTAAGAATGTTTCAATGAACTACGTGCCTATGCAGGGAAATTATATTGCACACAAGAGAAAATAGTCATTTGAAACACCGAGAAACGAGACACTCAGGAGCAGATGTTTCGTATTCGAAAAAAAAAGATTTCTAAAGTGTCTGATATGTTGTCGTTTCTGAAATAGCTAGTGCCGATTAGTTGCTCATTAACACATACAAAGTGACCAGCCTCGTACCCAGGCGCTATGTGTTGTTCTATGGCTTGCGCGGCCTTTGTGCGCTTAATGACGTAAACAAACCAAAGCGCCTGGGTACGAGGCTGCAAAGTGACCACATCGTGGCTTCGTTGTTTAATTTTATTTAAATACATCTCATTTAAGTTTGGTTGAAAAGCGTGTATGGCTTAATTACCTGTAAATAACGTGCAACTAACTTGAAACATCTTCAGGTTTTGGCAAGATACTTTAGTTTGGTTGCAATATTTTTTTTAAATATTTCTATTGCGTCATTTTACATATGTATATGATCAAGTACAATTTTTCAGTGACTGGTTAGTGGTTACATTACAGCCGAAACTGGCGTGAAGCAGACCGAGGTAGACTGTGAGCTTACAAATGGCGCTTTAAGCAGCCGCTATTAGTCCATACCTCAGTAACGATCTGCCCCTGACCTATGTGCCCTAACCCACCCTGTCAACTTTCCCTGTGGGAGGAAACCGGAGTACCTGGAGAAAACCCACGACTTTCGGCAGAGCGTTGACTTTTTTCTCTTTTCACATGAGGACTGGGTTCGAGTCACATTGAGAAATTCTCATTGAGACTTGAACCTGCGATCTTAAAGGTGAGAGGCAAGTGCATTAACCACTTCGCCACCGAAGCCCCATTTCCGTTTTGTTCATCTCATGCACTGCATACTCCTATAACCCTTGACAAACATCGTGTACATCTTTTCGTCTATGCAAGGCTACGTCCACACTAATCCATTTTCGTAGCGTTTTCGTATTGTTATCCGTTTACAAGCGAATAGAGAACAATGGTCTAGTGACCTGAAACGCTACGAAAACGGATTAGTGTGGAATACTGATAAACATTTGTGTTATTTCAGCTTCGCCAAGGCATAGCCCGACTACAAGCAGCATACAGAGCACAACGTCTGGCTCTTCAGTTTAACCTTCTTCGGGAAAGACTTGTCGTGTTGCAGGGTCACTGTCGTGGTTATGTGACCAGAGTCAAGTTACGACAGCGTCGTAAGGCGGTTGTTACCATTCAATCAGGTTGGCGACGGGTTCTTGCCAAGAAAAAAGTCGAGATGCTACGACGGGAGGTTTGTACAGTACATCTGTTATAGCATACAAAACTTATATGTACCCCCACCCTAATATATGTATCTCCACCCCCAATAGTTTTTCGAATTTAGAGAAATTAGGTTCGACCTGTCTTAATCTTGCCAAGTCTTCTCGGCGTGGCGCTACCGATATATAAAATAACCTGTTTAGAACACGTGAAAATTTAGAGATAATGACGTATTTCACTAACTTTGATTTGTAGAGAAGACGAAGATTGGAAGCTGAAAGGCTTGCTATTGAAGAGGAAATGCGTTTGGCAGCTCAGATGGGCCGTGGTGCTGCCAAAAGAGAGGCGGAAAGACGCTTACAGGTACAAATAGTTTATTTCACTTTCATTATAATTTTCCTCCCATGATTCTGCGGAGAATTTATTTAGTAGTTGGCATTATTCCAAAGGCACCTGATTGAGAATATTACAGATTTTGAATTAGTTTACGTAAAGCTATATAGATGCAGCGGAAGAAGGTATGCGCCATTTATTTTTTCCAATTATTTTCTATTAGCAATACGTTAGTCTCCTCCGCAGGCATTTCTATGGGCTTTTAGCCTGCGAATGGGTGTTTGAGAAAAAAATCTCGTCAAATTTTTTTCCAACCACCCAAATCTAAGGCTAACAATACATATAGTTTGCTATAGTTTCGCGAGAAGGCTAACAATACAATATAGTTTGCCAATTCTGCGTATAGTGTAAAGTTATAAACAGGCCATATATAAACACATCGACATGTAAACACATCCTGCATTATTCATAGTATATGCACGTGTTTCGCCTTTCTTGTTATCGCCATCTCGCGATTATATTCTAGGAGCGACTTCATGTTATTGAACAAAGTGAAAGTGATATGAACATGCAAAGAGCAATTGAAGCAAAGAGAAAGACAGAAGAAGTTATGTTACTGGAGGAATCTGCAAAAAGGCGGAGAGAAGAGGATGTCAATGATTCATCAATGGTATGTTGTACCTGTGTGATAAAATTCGTACATTACAACAAGTTAGAATCGTGATTGCGTTTTTGTCGCGTGTTCTCCATTCGATGGAGCACTAAATCTTGAACCATATGTTTCTTAGCGGACTTGGACAGGTATCTTATACAGAAATGGATGCTCATGATTTTAGCATTTTTGAAACCTTTCTTGACAGATCGACGAAATGTTTGGTTACTTGGATGAAAATGACCCTAAACGACGCGCAGCACCATCCTATTTCAAGGTAAGGTTTTACGCACTTTGTTAGCGCCAACTTTTCTGATCAATAATTCGTTTTAGATATAAGCTTTCGATGTGATGCCCGGATTATTATTAGTAGAAATAAAAACCTTACCTAGTGGTTACCATATCGGGCCTTATACCAAAAACGTATCTCTGATATTCCACAAATCTATAAGAAATGTATAACGTGCTATTCCTCCAAATTTTGGTTATCACCACACAAACCTTCTGACAAATACAGTAATTGCTACTGTTAGTGATTGATGAAAGAGAGGTTTAGTGTACCAATTAAATTGTGCTAAACCACCCAAAGAACTCAAAATGAGAGAGAGAGGCTTTATCAAGAGCTATTCTTGTTCGGTATTAATAATGTCACTCACATTAAATTTTGTTACCTTTTAAAGGACTTAGAAATCAACCAGGAGCCAACAATTGCTTCAGGTGATATCAAAATGACAACTGCTGGTGAACGAGAGGTTTGTAAAGTGCATGACTGTATATTGTAAAGGCCAGTTTAAATCATTATACCATCGTCGAACCTTGCATGTTAGTCTCACAATGTGGGATAAACATTTGATCAAATCTTGATCCAGCACCTTCCAGCGTGAGCCGACATACCAAACACATGGTGTTCGATCTGACAATGTTGGATTATGTTGGACCAGTATGTTTGAAGCCTTGACTGAGTGAAATTATGCTGTTTCTTTTTTCTTAGAGAAATACATCTTATTGAACTGGTGATTTTTTTATACTTTAGGATGAAGATTTATCACAGTACGTCTTCTCAAAGTTCGCTGCAACATATTTTCAATCTGCAACACATTCTCACATCAAGCAAAACCTTCGACAACCTTTGTTGCCTTTGGCAAGCGAAGCTGATACAATGGTAAGTACAACAAAGACATTTATAAGCACATTCAGATGAGAAAGAGTTGACAACGGAAAGTTGAGGTTGATTAAATAACCATGCAATAAGCTGCGTTTTAAAAACAACGATTTATGTTGACTCGCCGGGTAAGGTTCTGGCAAGACACCAGTTTAACATCAACTGTTCATGAGAAAATAAAAACTATATATATATATATGCAGAAAATAACTTTTTGTGGCAACTTTTTTAATCGGATAACTTATTTATTGGACAATCTATCTGAAAACAATAAGAATCTTGTATTACAGTGTTGCCAATTTGAAGCATTCGTGCATGTATATGGAGTGTACAAACTGTATATTTGATTTATAGTTTTCTATACTTTCCTTCCACAAAATAATATTTAATAGTTTTGTTTGTGGAAACACCACGTAAATTTATTACTGCAAAGCTTTCGATCCGTAAGCCCGGATCTTCATCAGTGCTAATAATATATTATTAGCACTGATGAAGATCCGGGCTTACGGATCGAAAGCTTTGCAATAATAAATTTACGTGGTGTTTCCACAAACAAAACTATTATATTTTATCACCATGCAAACATACAAAGAACTTAAAATAATATTTTTTATCAAGTAAAAATTGATCATGAATTGAAAGGTTATCTTTGCCTTTGGTATAAATAGTTTTTTTCTACTTTCTTTTAGGCTGCATTAGCTGTCTGGATTACCATTCTGCGTTTCATGAGTGATATGCCGGAACCAAAACCGAATAGATATACGCAGGTCAGTATACAAAGGATTATTGTATAGTATAGTCAACCTGGTTGGAATTACCTGTGACAAAAGCATTCCGAAACTCTACACCTCTCGACGTCGCTCACGAGTACATCGAGCAAGTACAGTACTCGACTGTATGTACACTGGTTTTGTGATTCTAACTATTCCATTGGAAAATTACCCTCCCAGTATGACTTGAAAAGACATAATAGTTATCGATCTTACAATAATGATTCTAACTAATTAAGTGCCATGCATTATAAGACATATTTTGTATTCAGGCATCCTGAATATCATTAGACCCGAGCCAAGCTCAGCTGTTTACTGAATTAGATTTTGTCACCGAATTAGATTGATTAGGTCTAGATTTTTTGTCTTTATTTAGGAACAAAGTGGGCCTGTTATGGCAAAAATATACGATACATTTGGAAGAAAGTTTGGTAGTCAGAGGGACGCCCCTCCACCTATTTTGGATTTTGAGGTAAAAGAGTCGGTAAAAATGTTCTTTTGATTGTCTTGATGTGCACTAAAAGTGTGTCTGTATTCTAGGACGAGAATTACCCAAAACGTGGAACTCTTCGTAAGAAGCTGGTTTCTCTCACCTTAAAAAGGAAGTCTAAAATTACAAAGGTGCGTACAGGCTGTTGATCAAATGGCTTCTGATGTGGTACCACACTTCTGACACAAGGGTCAATGCATGGGCGTTTTATTACTGCCTGCGTATGTAGGGCAATGAATTGTCATGAGAAAAAGAAATCCCTGCATATCTTACTGTATAACGTAATCCAAACTTTTTTAACAATTGTAAGACTGAATATCACAATATAACTGAAACTTATAAATAGATGTGCTATTATTGACCGATTCGAAAACTAGATACCACAATTTTACCTTATTCTATATTTTATACATCACAAGGCCAATAAACGATTTTCCAACAGAGACTGCTATTTAAGGCGAAGTGTACAAGTTTGATATTGAGAAAAATCCATGCAAGTGATATTGTAGCCCTTTGAAATGTACAAAAAGCACCAAAACGAGGCTAGTCGGGCTAGTTGCTGAATCTATTTTTAATATTTAATTTCTCAAAGAGAATACACATGGTATTATGTTTGTAAAATTGTTCGTCTTTAAGCGCTCTATAAGGCTGCTAGAAGTGATTACCTTGCTTGATTTCGGAAGAAGAAAGAATGACAAGTATTTTTCTAATCGCAGCAGAACTAGCAGTATAGTATGTGGCATAAGTATAACCTGGTTGTATCGCTTAGAGAACTAAATCTGTAATCAAAATCTTGATATCTAGAATAATCTCTTTTGTCCTGCCAATATGAGTATTAGATCTACAAAACCTCTTCAATAAGTTAAGGACTGTAAACTAATCATTCGATACTTTTCTCAACACAGGATGTCACAACAATGCTTAGAGAAGGCAGTGAACGAGGCTATCTTCCAGAATCATATGGTCCACTATCAGCTCAGGATAAACCAACAACCAACTTGGAAAAACTTCACTTTATCATTGGACATGGAATATTGAGACCAGAACTAAGGTAGACGCTTTTTGCTTAACATAGAAATGGCCCCGCGAAAAGGGTATTCATCTCATAACAAATAGTTGAGTTTAAAAATAAGAATTAATGAAGAACGAAATTAAGGTGAAAAGGAATAAAGAATAATGAAAAGCAAGATAGTGAATGATTAATTCAAAACAAATAATTTGGAAACATTAAAACATGCCTGTAGAAAATTTTCGTCTTGGCAAGTATAAGAATTACAGTTAGGGGGAAGCACATTTCAATTTCAAATTATTCTTATTAAAAATGTTTTTATTATTGTTAAGATGAATTTTTCAGTTTCGTCAAAACAAATTTCGTCTTGGCACAGTACATTTGGCAGACTTTTCTGCAGGCATGCATTAAAGTAAATAATGAATAATTGAATCAGAATTACTCTGCTTCCAATCCCATAGTGCTTATTGCATGCTTATGTTGTTCCACGTGTTTGATTCACAGCAAGAACATGTAATAATAAAATAGCAATGCGAGTGGATTCTGATATTTTAATTTAGAGATGAGATTTACTGCCAGATCTGCAAGCAATTAACAGAAAACCCGAACAAGACAAGCCATGCACGTGGTTGGATATTACTGTCTTTATGTGTCGGTTGCTTCTGCCCATCTGAAAAGGTAGGTTATCGTTGTGTCAATGAAAAATCTTTCACAGACCTTTACGAAATTACGTTTAACGTTGTTGAGCTGACATGACCTCTACAGTATTACGTATTTTAAAATTGCGCAGAAATAAAATCACCTCGCCATGGGGTAATGACGTCATAGTGGGTAAGTCGCAGTGTATAAACGTACAGTACCTTTAGTCACGATTTAAATCTTAGTATAAGTTGATATAACTAACATGTTATTACCTGTTCTTTATCTGTATTTATATTTAACGTCTTTATAGGGGTTAGGTGTCAATTGGGACGAGTCCTAGCTGTTCCTTTCCCCTGTCACGAATTGTCTAATCTGTCTTTATTTATCTTTAATTAGTTTGTAACACGTACATAGTGACAAATTCATTATTATTATTATAAAACTCCGCATACATTGTGATTTCATTAAATGAAAGTCAGTCGCGCTGGTTTTTAATTCACTTTCTCACTATAAGACGTTTTAAACTGCGCTAGACTCATCAATGGTGAATGCTTACTAATTTATGATATTTTTCCTTTAGCTCTACAAGTATCTGAAGAATTTCATCCGGGACGGTCCACCTGGTTATGCGCCATATTGTGAAGAACGTCTTCTGAGGACGAAGCAAAATGGAAGCAGACATCAACCGCCAAGTTGGCTTGAATTACGAGTATGCACATGTTGTATTGTCCATTTGGATTTTTATTGCCTCGAATGATCCGTAGAAATGCAATACAATTATCTTTTCTCTAGTCCTACAGTAAAGTGATATCGCAATTTTTCTCCATGTTTTCAGGGACCGTACTGTATTCTATAATCTGTCTTAGTGTTATCGGCAAATGGTTTAATGCCTTGATTGATTTCCTGTCCTCATTATCACATCATTGTATAAATTTCCTCGAAAATTGGTGGTGTATTATAATACTCAATCAGTCTTCGTAAACTTCAAGAACGAACCAAATCATTTTAATGTAAAATTCAGAAAATGTTCATAAAATCAACGATCTCTATAAATTACCTGACAGGCTGCCCTTGGTGTATCGTCTTGCTGTGTTTGTACGTTATATTTGGTGTGACGGTATCTATATTTTCAAATTCAGGCTACGAAGTCAAAGAAGCCACTGATTCTACCGATAACGTTCATGGATGGCAACACGAAGACACTTTATGCTGACTCAGCAACAACAGCAAAGGAACTATGTGGTCAACTTGCAGAGAAAGTTGGCGTCGCCGCCACTTTTGGATTCTCAATCTACATTGCTCTTTATGATAAAGTAAGTCAAAATGTCGAGTTTAAGCGGTCAAATTTAAGAATCCATTCCCCCAGCTATTGATTCTTCAGTTTGATATCTGGAGTAAAGTGAAGAAAGTGAAGCCAAATTTAACGTCCAGTGATTAGAAATTGAAGCCAAAATTGATGTCCAGCGACAGTCCCTTTGTATTGTTTTGCGCAGTTAACACGAAGTTGCAACGAGTGTGCCGAAATTTCGTGTTTTTACTTCGATTTAATAATACTATGGTTATATGAAATGATAACTTGAGTAGCGATTCGATCAGTTAGGAAAAACTGGAATAGCTGGGGGGATGGTATGAAAACCCTTTACGGCCTTCATAGATTTTAGGATACTCATGGGCCGATCAATACCCTGGTTCCAGAGGTTTAAAATAAACTTCTGGTTGAAAGCGGCAATTGATTCATCGAGCCGCGCCAATCAGTTTGAATTAGGGTCAGATCCTGACTCTGTCTCCTGATTGGATGATTGTATTAAAGCTCTGTGATTGGTTGTAGATGTTTTATTTGAATCAATCAGAGAGCTTTAATACAATCATCCAATCAGGAGACAGAGTCAGGATCTGACCCTAATTCAATTGATCAATTTTGTATCTTTTTAAACGACTTTTATAGGTTTCCAGCTTAGGAAGTAGCAACGACCACGTTATGGACGCCATTTCTCAGTGTGAACAGTATGCGAAAGAATTGGGACAACATGAAAGGGATGCACCATGGAGATTGTTCTACCGTAAGGAAATATTCTCACCTTGGCATAATCCACGCGAAGACAGGACTGCCACAAGTCTCATTTACCAGCAAATTGTCAGGGGTGTGAAATTTGGAGAATACCGTTTTGCAAGCGTAAGTTACGTACGCTTTACATCACATGACGTAGGCTGTACAGTAGAATCTTAAACAATTTAGTCACAGCTGGCTTTTGCATGAGGTACGAGCCGAACATGCGTAACTAAGAATAAACCGGTTCTACTTGACCGCTCGCAATTCAAAAGAATTTGGGCGAAAAATTTCGACAGCGTAATTTTTTGTCAAATGGAAATCCAACTTAAAGCATATTTATTCTGTCTTCTAAGAAGACAAAATTGGTAAGCGAATGGTACTTGTTAAGATTGTAAACCTTTCTATACCTATGCAAACGTCCCTTTCTGTGTAATATATCGTCATTAAAACCGTCGTTCTTAATGTGGCCCTCCTTTCTGAATCCTAGCTGTTAACGTCTACAACATCGTGATCTTCTTTATTGTTTTCTCAGGAGCAAGAACTAGCGGAGGTTGCAGCTTTGCAATACTATGTCGAATATGGCCGAGATATGTCAAAAGGTCGTCTCATGGATCTGCTTGGATCTTACATCCCTGACATATATTTAGACACTGCGAGAGGACCAGAAAAATGGGTTCACCTAATTGAAGATGCTTACAAAAAAGTACGTGACTCTTTATATCATTTTCGTTGAACAAATGGTAAAATATACCTTACCTATTTGCTTTTTATCATTTGGATCTGTTGATTAGTAAAATTGTACATGGAGGGGGGGGGGGGGGGGGGGATTATACAATCTGACATTTGAGAAAAAAGGCAAGGGGATGGCAGATAGTGTTTCGTCCATAAAACGTTCCCTGTGACGAGAAAAATTGTTTTGGGTTACACATTCAGATTAAAGTAATATGCATATAGGCTGCATTCGGACGCGTCTCAGACACATTCAGATCCCCAGTGGCTTTGTTTATGAGCCTATATATATGATGCCATTCGTTTGCATAAAAAAGTTTGATCATTCAAAAAAATTCAACCTGACACATAGCTCAATTTTGCTGGCACCAGTGCTTCTTGCCCATATAGGGCCTTTTCTGTTCACAGTAAAAATGTAATCTATATTATATGATTTATATCTACCCGTGCATGTTCATACGGAAAACTTTTCAAATATCACTCACACTGATAATCGTGATTTGTACATGCTGTGATATGAGTTTTACCTGTTGCTGCTTCCATGCAAACTCTCACAAGATATTATATTTAAGTATAAACAATTAAACATAGTGCCAATGCTGTTGGAATCCCTTACCACATTTCTATTTTCAGAATTCATACATCAAGGAAAACGCAAATCCAGTACATATTAAAGACCATGTCGTTGAATCAGCCAGGATTAGATGGCCGCTGTTATTTTCAAGATTTTACGAAGCTTATCAATTTGCTGGACCATCTCTGGGACGACAGGATGTTATTATTGCTGTGAACTGGACTGGTGTGTATGTGGTGGATGATAAAGAACACGTGTTACTTGAATTGCAGTTTCCTGAAATTACTGGTGTCTCTAGCAGTAGGTATGATGTAATTGCAGGGATAGTTGGTCTGGTAAATTGTCTTAAATAGTCTATTTATAGATCGAAAGACGCAACAAGTATCCATTTTTTTACACATCATTAAATTGTCATTTAATTGACTGATTATGATTACGTGATATTGAAAAATTTTCCATTTTCACGCGATCCATACCGCCGTGGATTTTTGTACTATATTTTTTCGCATTGCACAGTTTGATTTCCCTTAAATTTCATCCGTCAAAGTCGTAATCGTATATGATCGTAACTCATTTAACCCCAATTCCATATTGAGGCCGATGGAATTTAATGCAAATCCATCCCTAACTAACAACTTCTTTTTAACGACAATTTTTTTACTCTTTAAATGATAATCTTCCTAACTCATTCTATCATTTAAATACCCACTTAATTCATTTTCACTCTTCGACTTAAACATGAAAATGGACATTACTTAGTATATCATATGCAAACTTTTTCTTGTAATTTATTTGTCTGAGTGTTGTCTCTAGTTTTTCATGCAATCACTTTTGCGTTCCTAAAACACCAGGTACTTCCCCAAATGAGAAAAAAATGAGATCATCTTCTCCATTTCGGGTTAGCGAGCCTTCAAAGTATAACAATTTTACATTTTTCGAAGATATATGGCAGAATACCCAGGGCTCGAAATAGCGGGCTGGCAATGGCCAAAAGCAGGCCATATTTTAGAAATGGCAGGCAAAAACAAGTTTGAACTACCAAGTCAAAAAAAAATGGCAGGTGAAATTCTATAGATATATTTCATTTCATTTGCTTACCACAACTAAATACGTTTATATTTGAAATGTAAATACAAGTTTACTGCAGTAAAATAGACAAGTTTAAAAATAATAAAAATGCATATCATGAAAACATTGATTTTCACAATATGACTTTCACAATATGAGACGTCGCCATTTCTATGGCAGTTCAATGAATAAAAATGGCAGGCTGGCAGGCCATATTTTTTCTCTACTTCGAGCCCTGTTTAGACCTGTTTTCTTTTAAATTACCAAATTAGTAATAAATGAACAGGAGCATTTAAAGCATGTAGGGTTACAATGCCTGGTAGAAACTGAATCGAAAATTCAAAATTAATCGTGTTTAGTGACATAAAAAATATAGCATAGACTAAGTTCTCTTTGTTTATTTTCAATTCCTAGCTCCATTGACAGAAGTGGTAGCCTGAGTTTTACAATATCAACTCTGAGAGGCGACGACTTTACTTTCACATCTCCAACCTCTGAAGATATCAAAGAGCTGATCACTCACTTCCTTGAAGGTTTACGAGCGAGATCAAAATATGTTGTCGCACTTATGGACTATGACAGCCCAGGTAGATTCATGTCTTTCTTTTTCTTATGGGGATGCATCTTCACCTTTTACAAAATTTTTAAAAAAATTAAACCGGAACCATAGAAATAAACACAATCACAAGATGAGCATTTTGAAACAGAGGTCCAGCTCAGCCAAAAACCCGTAAACGCCGCCACCCCATGTATTCGCAATCGCTAAGCACTCGCAATGCTATCGCCACGTTCTGAGCCACTGCGCCCTGAACGTTCTGCCATTCTGAATGTTTTCAGGGACTAAATGCCTTTCGTAAGCGCACTGGCTGAGAACATGACGACAACATTGCAGAGGTTACGCTAACATCAGGCGCCGACACGAAATTGGACCTCTGTATGTATTTATTCTGTGCCCAAATTATGAAAACCAAGACATGAAATAGTATTTGTTATGTCCGTGAATATTCTAATAAACGCCCACTCTCTAATAAACGCCTTTAATATAATAGATGCCTTGGACAAATCAGCATGTTGTTATAATAAACGCCCCTCTCGTTATTTGAATTCTTCATATACAACTGCACAATGCAGGAATCATACTGAACGCCATGTACACTAATGAACTAGTGTGTGCCCTTCTGTTAATTTCAGTAGTAATACAACCTTGTCCCTTCCCTCATCTCCAGTTTTTGCTACTAATGTTGCCTGACAAGAGTCAAAAGGGGAGATGTTGAATTTTGAAGGTTACTTTCATCCATAATCGTACTCTTTAGGAGAAAACACGAGCTTCCTTGCATTCAAGAAAAATGACTTAATCATTCTTCAAGAGAACGAAACTGGTGATTCAATAACAAATTCTGGATGGTGTAAAGGTTTATGCGAGAGAACAGGTTTGTCTGGTGACCTGCCTGCAGAGTGTGTGTATGTGCTACCCATCCTAAGCAAACCAACTGTCGATATTTTGGTAAGATTAAAATCCTACATATTATAGTGTTAATTTTAATAGGTCATGTTAATGTTAAGTGCATCGTGTACACTATAGGCGTAAAGCTCACCTTTATTATGCTTTTATATAAGATACCATTTGAACAATTGTAGGCGCAATTTGAAAGGCAATCAAAAGAAGATGCAGAGAAGATCATTGCTTCAGCGCATTCAGCATTACATCTTGATGACTTAGAAATACCTGCACAACCTCACACTTTAGAGGAGTATGCTAAAGATCACTTCGTACCTCCCGCAGCAAGAACTATCGGTAGAAGTGGAATAAGGAAAGACAGGAACACAATTTGGGCATTTCAGAAGGTAAACCATTTAGTTTTGGGTAATTCATTTAATGAGCTATAAACTATTATTATCAGGGGTTGAAATCTTGTGGGCGTCGTAAATATTTTTTAAATTTTAACCCCTGATTATTATTATAGCATGCTTCTCCATGAAGATTTTATGATATTCTATTAGTTTGTCTTAGATTTGATTATACCGATGCAACGTTTAAAATTCTATCAAAGCTTTATAAGAGTTAATTGAGTTGTTTTCAAGCTTGAATTTTCGACACACATTGCAATTCATGCATACATATAACAATGAGTAAAAGCGGTACCCATAAAGCATTAAACGAGGAGAAAGATACAGGCCGTGCAGATAGTACATTATTAAAAAATTGAAACGTTTTTATACGCCTTTGCAATTTTTGTATTGTCAGAGTAGGATGTGGTGTCCAAGCATAAAACCATTTGGTTAGTTTTCGATCGTCGGACTGAGATATTTCGTGGTAAGATATTTCGTGGATATTTCAAGGGCACTTACTTTGTAGACTTCAGTATTTACACAGCTGGTGATGCTGTGCTTGGTATAAGAATCAAAGTTTTAACTGAATTCAATTTGACTTTTTAGGAACCAATCAAACAACCGTTGCTTCAGAGACTTATAGGAAAAGAAGATCTATCTTATAAAGCCACCCAAACATTCTTAGATATCCTTTTTATCATTTGCATATTTTGCTCTGAATGCAAGTACAGTGTTTTGTACAGTGTCAGTGATATTACATACAGCTTCGCTGTAATTTTGACAGAAATAAGAGGGTCTGCGGCACGTACCTTTATACCTTGCGTTGGTAGCTGTTGGAAGATATACAGATATACTTTCCTCCACTATGGTGGACCTTTACCCTTTTACTGATAATGCGTTCCCATGGTTCGAAAATATATAAAATGAAGTGTCGGTTTATCATGTTTCTTGCTGCTACCTAAATAAAGGTTTTGTACGAGAGGTCAGGTTAGACAGGCACAAATATAAGTATGACTCAATATTATTATGTTGACCTTAACATTTTCACGTATTCTAAAATACATGGGTGACTATCCTTCAAAGAGATCAAGAAGTACAACTGAGCTGACAGATGAGATTTTCGAACCTCCACTGAATTCAGTAAGTTTAAAATCTTGTTTGATTAGCATAATCTTAAACTAGAAAAGTTATTACACTTTCACTGTAACGTCGTCGTCTTCAATAGACCGTAAATGATCTTACAAACACCAACTCTCTAATGAACGCTTGATGAATAATAGATAGATTTTGTAATTCCAATAGACCCTCTCTTATCCAATAAACACCGCCTCTCTGCTGGGGTGTTTATTAGATATTTTGCAGCATAGTGCAATGGAGCTATGATCGAACGTTTCAGAGTTTCGACTTTTGTTCACTCTTCAAAGTTTTGAAAAATGTTGCATGTAAAGAAACGAAAAAAACCGTCCCTCTCTAACAGATGCTCCTCCACTAAACACACTTCCTGACCATGATTAGATCATTAATGGTACGTTCGTCACGTTATTTTTATAGGAAGCTATGAGGGATGAAGTGTACTGTCAGATAATCAAACAGTTGACTGGCAACAAAATTAAGTATGTCTTTGTTAACAAAATGCGCTGTTCATTGATAATAAAAATTAATACTATCTCACATATTTCGTTTCCTGTAATTGCAAGATTAAATTGTAAGCGATTTACAGGTTACTACTTGATTAAACTTATTACTCCCTTGGTATCTTGCTGTATAGATCGAGCGAAACGTTCGGCTGGGAATTGATGTGGTTGTGTACTGGATTGTTTGCTTGCAGGTGAGCATTGAGAATTGAGTATATTTTGTACAGTACTGTATATTTTGATCATGCAATGTATGTACATAATGTAAAATGCATATTAGGCATGTGGATGTCATTCAAATACTTTGATCAAAACAATTATTTACCCAGAGTAGCGCTCTTATCAAAATGCTAGTTGGACCAGAAATGTGTCAAAGACCGAGGTTTAAACTCTCCTAAAATTTTCAATCTACTTGATTTAATTTTCAATTTTTGCCCGAGTATTTTGAAAAATGAGTTTTAATGGTCAGAATCGATGAGCGTCAATTCGCAATTTGATATATTTTTCAGTATAATTTGATTCGTGCATGGAGTTTAAATTCACTGCAATTACACAACAATTACATACACTGCACTTTAGTTCTATCTCCGGCCTAAACAATTTTTTTAAGCAAACTAATCTTAATGTTATTTTTCATACAGTAATCAACTTCTTAAGGATGTAAGCTTGTTCCTACAATCATGGATGGGAACACAGCCATATGCAAAGGAATGTATCTTGCGCTTACAGAAGACAATGAGAGTTGGTCAACGCAAGTATCCGCCACATATTGTTGAAGTTGGTGCTATCCAGGTGTGCGCAAAATATTTTTGATTTATCAAGTATAATTAAAAAATATGGATTATGTTAACAAATATTTATATATATTTTAATTGTATATATAATTATTTAAACAGCATGGAACAACGCAAATTTACCACAAAGTGTACTTTCCGGATGACAATCATAAGGTTAGTACCTGGCACTGTAGAGAGAAAGAGTGAGGAAATCCTAAAATCTTTAACAACTGTCAGAAGAATGAGAAATCTTAAAACGATACACAGTTGTCATTCATCTGCTAACTAGATTCGAATAAGGGAGGAATATTGAAGAATGTGCGAGTAATTTAATATTTGTATACAAAAATGTCAAGCTGCATGCGCTGCAACTTGCAATTTCGGACAGAGCGTTATGTTTAAAAATATATTAAAAGTAAATTGTGCAGTGAGCATGGACAGTATTTGACTGTACTGATATTTTTCATTCTCATTCATTTCGCGCTTCTCACCGGTATGTTAGGCGAGGAAACGCTCGGCGGAGACGACAAGGGGCAAGTTCTCAACTTTACTGTGCATGAATACGTTTCACATAACATAACTCTGCGTTGCGTTGCAAGAAGTGAGCTCCTTATATATCTGGAGTGAGAACAACCGCGCAGACGAAAAGGGTCTGGAACTGACGTCCAATCATTGCGTCCTATAGCTCCTTCAATTTCCGCTCTGTTGGCAAGTAGTGTGCCGAAATTTCGTATTTCGACATCTATTTAAAGAATAACACTATGGTTTTATGAACTGATAACTTGGTTAGCGATACGGTCGGTTAGAAAAAACTGGATTTAGCTGGGAAAAGTGGTATAAAAACTGTTTACGACCTTCAGAGCTATTGGACGTCAATTCCGCCACCTTGGTTTCACTTTTCTCATAGGCCGAATGACTAAGTTCTTGCTCCAGATATATATGAAGCTCACCGCTGTTTGCAAGTTGCAGCAAAAATTGCCTCGTGCATGCATAGCCTTTACTTCTCGCTGTGCAAACCCTCTCGGGTTTACACTACGAGCCTAAGCCTGGCCTAGGCCTAGCTTTGAACTAGATTTTTGCAGTGTAAACGCACTTCGGGTTGGCCTAGGCCAGAAAATCTTGGCCACCTGTTCTGATGGTCCCAGATTTCCTGGCCTAGACCAGACCGAAGTGCGTTTACACAACAAAAATCTAATCCAAAGGTAGGCCCAGGCCAGGCTTAGGCTCGTAGTGTAAACACGGTTTATATCTCAGATGTGTCGTTATTGGATTAATAACGCAGACTGAGATAACTTGATATTATCATAGTGACTATATTTATATTAATAGATGAGCATATAATGCGACTAATTGTTTTAAAATATTCGAAAGTAACCGTATACGTACTTTTGGAATAACTGGAAAACGAGCTTTTGAGAAAGTATTTGCTTGCCCTTTTTAGGCATTTGAAATCGACTCTGGAACCAAAGCAAAGGATCTCTGCACATCTATTGCGCAGAGGTTGGATCTGCAATTGTCTGAAGGCTTCAGTCTTTTCGTGAAAATAGCAGACAAAGGTAACGATTCAAACTGTGGACGTTCCACTATACATTTGATAGGATAATGATTTATTTACAAGGAAATTTTTCAACAATTGAAGGTAATTCAGAGCATGCATCCTTCTATTAACATTGTTTAATGAAATTGCATTTAACGACAGTCTAACACACGCTTCCGGAAACTACATCACTTTGGCTATACAGCCTCGTTTTAGTGAGACGTTGGGCTTTCCAGAGTGACGTATTGCTGGTAGGGTGTATTGTGACGATGTTTGTTTGTTTGCTGAATTTTTATTTTTATTTTCAGTTATTAGTGTTCCTGAAGGTGATTTCTTCTTTGACTTCGTACGCCATTTGATGGAGTGGCTCAAAAAGACAAGAGCGACTTCTGCAAGTATGATTCCACAATGATATTTTTCTTACTCAAGCTTTTGGAAAAATAGCGAGATTTATGGGTATCTTATTTTGTTAGATTTCAAAATGGATTCGTCTTCCACTATCAGTTATCAAGTGTTCTTTATGAAGAAACTTTGGAGCAACACCGTTCCAGGAAAGGATCCAGCAGCAGACTGTATATTCCATTATCACCAGGTTAGTTTAGGATCCAATACAATGATTAGATTCACACGAAAGTTTAGCCGCATTCTTGAAGTATGTATAGTAACTCTGTATGTTGCATGGATGACTCTCTGTTTTTTAGCAGGCAATTTCAAAACATGACAATATGCACAGTGATGATATTTTCGCGGATTATAATTTTTGCCTTTAATACCGAAAGTATAAACGCTCATGAGTTTATGTCGTTTTTATATATCGGTTATACTTCTATCGGTTCTGCCAAAACGTAAATGTTCTCACTACAGAGATCGAGCAACGGCCATCGCTTCTTTATGATGCAGTGTTGCTGCAAGAGGGTAACGGAGTACCCAAACCTCTTCAATAAACTGCATATTCCACAAACCGAGATGAAAGACGCATGAACCCCGCCGCCAAACTATAACAACACCGATCACGCATATCATATAATTTTGTTCTTGTTAGGAACTTCCTAAGTATTTACGTGGTTATCACAAGTGTACTGTAGATGATGCTCTTCAACTGGCCGCTCTTATCTACAGAGTGAAATTTGGTGATGATAAAACACAATTCCCAAACATTAAGTAAGTTCGATGTAGCAATAATTGCAGAGATCGTAATTCCAATAGATTGTTCGCGTAAAGTGATAGGGTAACAATATTAACTCGTAAATCATATCGAGTTTAATTTCAACCCTTTGAAGATTGCGCATTGCGTCCAAAAATTGACTTAAACCGCTTATACCTGTCACGTTTTAGGAAGAGTCACTAGTTTTAGACTTTTGTAATTTTGTATTCTTTTGTATTTTAAACTTAATCCTAATCCTAAACCTATAACCCTAACTCTTACTCTAATTCTTACTTTAATCCTAACCTTAATCTTAATCCTAATCCTTTCCCTAATCCAAACACTAATCCTAACCCTAAAAGTCTAAAAATAGTAACTGTTCCTAAATCGTGACTCATATGAAACCACTTCTTTAGATTCGCTGCACTTAATGATGGATAGCATTCATTAGGTGCAAAACAAAATTGTGTCGGCTTGATATACCGGTGGGGCAGTCCGGAAGCCTGAATAAGAAAGTGTAGTATAAAACTCGTGTTCATTTGGAACACAGATAAAATCAATATATTTAGATTGAAGTGCATAAAAATATTCACGATCATGCATGCCAGAAAAAAATCAAATAATACTGCCGTTAGCATGCAAACAAAATCTTAACAACTATGTTCTGTCTTAAATATGCACACAGTGTTCTCTTGTATGCTATCAAGCACAAAAAAGTACATTACTTACGTTAAAAGGTATATGCTTGAGTGCAACATATAGCATGGAATTTAATGATATTTTATAATGAACAGTGCTAGTGTATTACCGTGGTAGGTTTTTTTACGGCAATTTTAAACGATTCCTTTTACACTTTTAGCAAAATGATGCGTGAATTGGTTCCATATGATATTCAAAATCAGCGAAGCCCAGATGACTGGAGAAGGGTTAGTGTTCTTATAGTTTATTTATTAGTTGTGTCATTTTCAATCTAATTCTTGTTCATAATCATGATATTGTTCATTTGCCTCAGTCCCAGGATTGAAGAAACACTCGAGCTCAGTGCGCCAATAAAAGAATCCAAAATTATTGAATGTTAAATATTTTTAGTTTTACTTGCCAATAAAAGCAAACCGCTTACAGAAACTAGCCGCTAGTGTTTCATCCATTGCATGACATGGATATTTACATTCTTTATAGGTTTTATATATCAACAAGCGTGAGAAACGTGTGTAATGATCAGTCACATTTTGCTGCCAGAAACATTTCGATATCTCGCACCTGGATTCATGAACTATTTTTGATTTCATTTTCAGGGTATTGTAGCTGCATTTAACAAACATGCTGGAAAAACACAGAATGATGCCAAAGTTTCGTTCCTGAAAATTGTTTATCGTTGGCCAACATTTGGGTCTGCATTCTTTGAAGTCAAGGTTTGTATGATAATTGGTACTGGATGCATGGGAAAAGGCGACATAGGAGCACTAAGAAAGTTTCAAAGGCGTCATTTTCGATTATAGAAAAGTCATTTTCTCATTTATTTGTCAGATAAAGAGGATTTTTGGGAGACGCCAGACACCAAAATGTCCACCAATGTATAGAGTTTTCCCAGTTATATCATAATGAATTAGATAGCAAAATATGCTTTTATAATAATCAGACTAACTATAAAAATCCGTGCTATACCTGGATTTACTTGGAGCGCTTTTATATATCCTTCATCTTGTTTGACTGAGAAAACAGAGGGATTGCAATGTTTTCATTCACCTCGATGAACGCCCCAATATTGACAGGACTACCAGTACGGAAAAGAACGATAAGATATGCATGAGTACTAAATGGTTTGATGTATATTCTAATCTTGGTATGATTGGTTGGTAACTCCATTAAGTTGAAATTGCATTATCTTGATGCAGTTGATGTGATTGATGTTGTTCCCAAAAACAACTTATTTCCTTAGTGTGCGTGTGCCACTATTCATTATATCCATTTATATTCTATAGCAAACAACTGAACCACATTTCCCAGAGCAACTGATTATTGCAATAAACAAACATGGCGTGAGCCTAATTAACAGGCAAACCAAGGTAAAGTGACGCGCTTCTATCATGTTCAGGGCCTGGGTAAATTTGTTCCCTAGCGTCACCGGTTTTGAGACAATAGTGAATTTGGGAAAAACGGCAATTCTAGTTAGCCTGTATAATTCGTCTTCAAATTACGACTATACGTTATTTACGTCACTTTTACGTCTCTTAACGGCGCAAACACTTATAACGTTCCAAGTTGTTTAAATTAAGGTGTTTGCAGTTGTGAAATCACTGACTATAGTGGTTCTTAAAACGATTCTTTTATAAAGATAAGAAGCAAATAAAGTTTAATTATGCATGCTTTTGCTCAAATACAAAAATGTAAGTAATTTTGTTTTCTGCCGTCGCCGTTCTAACTTTCCATGGTCACTAAATATCGTTAACATAATAATATAGTTTTTTTATGCGGTTCCCAAACCAAGTTAAGTTTCACATCGCTTTATATTCGCTGCGTGAGTTTATAAACACTAAACAGTCTGTTAGTTCCTTTGTCTGTTCTCTGCTGTTAGTCGGTTAGTCGCGGTTAGTTTCTTCATGATCATAAGCCTTGGTATTTATTCAAAAATAGTATGTCTTCGCGCTTGTGGTGCATTTGTTTTGCGCATGCTCCAGGGCACCGTAAATAATATTATCCCTGCATCTTCTGCATTAAGAGAAGACCCAAATAAAAGATGTTCAATCCCTCGACTTAGTTCTCTAACACACATCTTTGTTTCCACAGGATATTCTTGAAACGTATCCTTTCACTAAGATCTCGAACTGGAGCAGTGGTAATACGTACTACCATATGACAATTGGTAACCTTATGAAAGGAAGCAAGTTCTTGTGCGAGACATCTCTGGTAAGTGTATTGGGGAAGCGAGTGATGACTCCTTTGCAACTGACATGAAAATAATTCTACTACAGGGCTGTTTAATGATTAGTCGGCTTACACTATCGAGGTTTCTTTACTTAAATAATACAGTTTGGTCAAGTTGTGGGAAACTTTGATAAAACTAAAGTATGAAATATATACTTCAAAAGTTTAATTACTCTCGAATACACAACTCTGCCTAATTTCTCTATTAAGCCCCCTTCTAACGTAAGCTCCCATGCATCTCTAATAAGGCCGATCTTGATCGATAAAGCACGTGCAGTTGTGAATTTTCGCTCTCATATATATACATATATATATATATGAAAAATCTTCAGACAAATCAACAGAAAATGTTTCACATATTGTTATATTTGTAACTTAATTTAGATAAATTGAGAATTAACAATCTTGGAATGTTTGTAATGACAAAGTAGGATTTTTAGACAAAATTGTCACATTGGCATTAATTTTATTATATTAATGAAAAAAACAATTGGGAAAGGGTTTTATTTACAATAAACGAGCAATTTCTTGACTAGCACGGTTGTTCTGATATTGTGGACTATATCATTTTATAGCTTTGATTATCATCCATCAAACCTAACGTTTTTGGCATATTTTAAATTTTTTTTACATTAAACGCTAACGGCAAACATATCACAAACCGTCTTTCTTTTAAACAGGGTTATAAAATGGATGATCTTCTAACCTCGTACATATCAATGATGTTAACAAACATTAACAAAGGAAAACGTGGTGCAATTCATGGCGAAAGACTGTGAGGTTGGTCAATGTAGTTATTCCCTGACATCATGCGCATAAATTGCACGTTCATACCAAATATCAATGGCGTGGGCTTTTCGTTGTCACTTCCAATTTATCAATAGCAAATTTTTAAATGTCATCGAGATGGTAATTCAAGAAAACAAACCTGTCGGTTGCTTGCATGAGCGAACACACTTGATATAAATGAACCGACCACCTTTTGGCGGTATAGACAAAACACATAAATCAATTCTGTTGACTATTATTTATTTTTATGTTATGAAATGCAGTAAAACAGCAAGAGAAAGCTATTTTATAAAGAATTATGATCTACTATTTATAACATAGCACCAGTCCAGTTCAAGGCCGGATTTTTGTGGAAATGATGGGGAAGGGGGAAATATTTAGGGGAGGTGCAGCGATCTAGCATGCAGACCCCATGGAAAGTTTGGGCTTAGAATGTACCCCCTAAAGCCAACTACGTGACGTATGCATGTGCTGTGTACTGCATATATGTATCAGTGTATTCATAAATTATGACCGTACACGACTGATTCAATTTCGCCCTTCATCACATTTTATTACTACAAAGTTTCTTTTCGAAACATACCATTCCAAACTTGACACAGTGATGATGGCCATCAGGATCTCAAATTTCCAGAAAAACTTTCTTACAAAGTGTAGACGCCAAGCAACATACAAAAAGTTGTCACTTTCAGTTTGATCTATTATTACTTTTCAAGGGAGGTGCAAAACGATCTCAGGTGAAGTGCAATTCGTGGCCATGCTCCAGCCACATATAACAAATACGAAAATCTTTTCTATTTCTTTTACTAGTCGTTCGAAGGCAACAAATAAACAATCTGGATATTTGGGTAGCAAACTGCCCGAATTCATTATTTGGAGATAAATTTTTGGAACAAGATTACATTGCAGGATTCAGAATTACATGTGCTTACATTCCTACTAACTGTTGTTGCCGAATTTAAATAATTTTATTTCTCTATGCAATATTTATTTCACTATTCTTTTATGTCCGTCATTATAGACTAACAATTTATGAATTAATTTTTCTATTTTCTTAATTTATCGATATTTATTGTTCTTCCAATAAAAAAATTAATTAGGGTACTTCATTTAATAATATTATAATTTGTTATTTACTACATTTGGTATTTTAATTTTTTGTACATTTGTCATTTTTGTCATCACAATAATAAATATTTTATTCATCGTTTCGTTAGTTTGCCTATTAACTATATATGGTTTGCCTTTGGCACTTTGCTTTCCTATAATTGTGGGGAGTGCGTTAGAAAAAGTATACTATTTCTTAACACTCGCATTCATGCTAAGTTGAATTAATGTTTGGGAAATATTGATCAACGTTCTGCCTGATCTGATTTTCCACATAACATTAGTTATAGCAGTTATCATATATTTACCAAATAACTCGATTTTGGCTTTTTTTCTGTAAGATCTCGGCAAGGGCAAATTCAGCCAATCGTAAAGCTGAAAAACTAACCAATGACAACATGGTAGCTATGTCTTCGCAGAGGTCAGTCCCGAAAAATGACAATTTGCTTGAAAATTTAAAATTTTTATCTATCAACATACTGCAAAGTCGAAAATATTGATAAGATTTGGCTCTTTTTTTGGCTTTTTTAAAAAAAAATGAAATTTGGCCTTATTTAGTAGAATTTGGCCTTTTTTTAAAGGTCATTTGGCTTTGTGCATGCGCGAAAGCCAGAGCGCGAAAGCCTACCAACCCTAATTTTAAAGGTGATGTAAAGTCCGTAATGTAAACAAACGCTTTGTTTACATTTTGAACTCAGTGCTACAGTTGTAAAATATGATTATATATATATATTATACTGAATTTTTAACACTCTTCCGGTTCGCTATGCTTGTAGACTAGAGATTCAATTCAAGAAAGTTCGGAAGGTGCAAAATATTAACAACATTCCCCAAAGAATTCCCGTTAATTCCTTTAAGTTTGCCCTTAAAAAATACTTCTTAGAATCTTATAAGGGCATCGATCGCTTCGAATTATTATTGTGACGTACCATCAAGTTGTACTGTATATAATTTGTATATATAAACCCACAATCCTAAGTGACCTTTTACATATTTACTCTAAGTAGCTTTTAGACGTTTTAAAGTAGAATTAATAACTTTGTATGTATTGTATATGAGGGCCACAGGTTTTTCAGCTATATTGCTGTCATGTGTTTCTACCCTCTTTAAATAAAGTTGTTCATTCATTCATTCAAAGGTTGCTCCCAACACCGCGGAAAAACGTCTGCGCATGCGTCAACCTTACCTGTAATAGTATTGCGAACTTGATAAGAAGCTGTTCCGAACGTTTCCGAAGGCTCAAAATGGCGGTAAAAAGGAGTGACTTCATTGTGCGTCTTTACAGCCAGATTTCGAGCGCAAAAATAAACATGTCATTCTAAAAACTAGGAATAAATACAGCCAGAAGGTTCAAGAAATTGTATTGTACAAGAACATGAACTAAAGGTGATTGTTGACAAATTTATCGTCTGAAACATTTTGTTTATCAACTAAGCAACGACAATTTCCGAATTTTCGTTTGAGATACATTTCTTTAAAAAAAACTGTGTCGCCAAATATAAAAAATTTTCGTGTTCACAATAATTAAACTTTAGGATTTATTCTACAATTTTAGTGGGTTAAGAAGCTTAACTTTTCGAGAGTTTTCTTAACTTTTTAGTTTGAATTTTTGTTTTGAATAATTTTGCAAAAATTTTCGAAGTCGTGTCCGTTAAAATCAACAATTTTTTACATAAATTATATTTCATTCCATACTTTAAATGCCAGGACGCTTTCAATTAATGTCTAGTCTACCCATTTGCTATATTTTCTCGTTTGTTTTACTAATTTTTGACCAATTAATAAGCATGTTTTGTTCAAAAATTGATATTCAAATTCCCCGCCATATTTTCATAATTTGGTGCATGCGCAGACGTTTTTCCGCGGTGTTGCTCCCCCACTGATGGAATGTGTTGATGCGCAGAATATATGCGCAGAACGGACTTTACAGCATCTTTAATTGGACTCTTTTGTCTGGAACACCAACATGGCTGCCATGGTTTTTGTTGAGTTGTTCGCTGGGGAATGAGTGCAAACGCTCTATAATACTTTTTTGGACCGAAGTTCAATACTAAAAGTATTATTGCACGCTGTGGTTACAAGAGCCCCGGCGCGGTCCATTGTTTGCTAATTTGAAAATTACATATTTTTAAAAGCGTAAGCCGTAAACAAAACGGCTTTGAGCCGGTTCGCAACGTTAAATGAATATATAATAAATGAATATATATTAAAACAATTATTGAATTCGGTTTTCGTATGATGTCGAGAATTATCCAGGCCTCGGTTTGTGTTATCCACCGAGGCTGCAGTCGATAACACACACTTCGGCCTTGATAATTCTCAATATCATACTCAACCTCGTTCAATAATTGTTTATTATTGGATGAGGTTTTTGTGATATCCAGAATTATCAAGGTCGAGGTATGAAGTGTTATACATTGCATTTTCATTCATAACTCTTTCGACCAATTAAACCATGAATGATTTGTCGCACAAAACAACGTTTGGACTTTGGTCCTTAAAAAAAATAGTGAAAACGATTTAAAATTTCACAATAACAGAATAAAAATACGACCCGATTAAAAATGACCGGTAGTATAAAATTATTGTCGGAGCATTGTAATTATTCTCATTTCGGATTCAAATTTAAGAACTTGAATAAGAATTCTCTAACATTTGGATTATTATCAGGTTCTCGTTCAACCACCTAACGCACGATTACTCGCCTAAGGCTAAGTTCGGATGCCTTATTAACCTTGTATGCTAGTGTAAAAGTTATTTAATGACGGTTCTCTTATAGCTAGCTATATCAAAATGGAAAATACAAATGGAATTGAAATGACACCTGAATACTTTGATATGCATATTTTAATTATCTGCAGCCTCAATCACATGTTCCAATTCAACTGCAATTTTATCGACACAACGAACTGGCTTACTGGACCTGCTTTTCTCCCGTCTGTGATTCACGGTGCACTTATGTATGGAGTAACTTGTGAGTTTGGTTCAGTCGTCAGTGTCGTCTGTCAGGCAGTGCAGTATAAAACGCGTCGCAGATTAAAAGCAATGTGTGGGCCAATTCAGGATTTCATTGTATAAAACAAAGAGTTATATAATATTTTACAAACTAAATACTGCGGTAGGGTCTGAGAATTTTTCAGTGTTGAAAACATAGGCGTACGTGACAGGGGGCAGAAGGGGGGGGGGGCAACTGCCTTCCCAAAAATTTAGATAACCAACCAAATGCTGGGAAAAACAACCAAATGCTGGGAAAAACAACAAAATTCAGGCAAACTTTCAAGTGCCTTAACTCCCAATAATAATTAAAACGAAATTTTAATACGCTGTGCTTTTAATAATGTCCTTCACATGACCTTGATTTGAAAACATGATATGTACAGTATCAGTATATGCGCTGCCGCACATTGCACTTTTGAATATTTGAACTTTTACGTATACTGCTCCTGGTGCGGCACTAACTTGAGGGCGGCGTTCTTTAAAAATTGTTATTTACATGATCTGTCTTCACAACCGAAATGCATGCGCATTTCCAAAGTTCTGAAGATTGTGTTAAATTGAAAGAGCATTGAAATACACTCACATTCAGTTAAAAACACTGTAATACACGAGAAAAATTTGCTCAGGATGAATAAAGATTGAGATGTATATTACAGTTGTTCTTAGTTTGAGTTCTTGAGCAATTCTGTCTTCGACTACCCGCCGCGTTGTTGTGAATAAGTGCGGCGTGTATTCAAAGGACGGCAGTTTAAATTATACTGCGCGCTATACCCAATATCAGTGGAGGATTACATAAGTCGATTTCATACTGAACGGCAGCCGTGTTTCTGCTGGGGGTCTACGGCGCAGACGCGCAGTCTGTATTCGATGGGTCCACTATACAGTTTTGCACCAAAAATGTTATTTGCTACGAAAAACTGATCCAAGACTGATTTCGGATCAAAGACCTTGGCAAATAAATATTCGTAGTGTTCGAATCCACAAGATAAATCGCAATTTTAACTTGCAAGAAAATATAACTATTACACACTGTGTCATTATTAGTACTTATTAGATTAATGCACAGTTCCAGTTCTCCCTTGGAATTAAAAGATATCACTTGAGCTCCTGCCAGCCAATGGCAATGTGACAGCCCCAAACAATACTTGAACTCTTAATTTTGGCCCCAGGAAGAACAATATAGAGAGTCCTGAAGGGGGGGGGGGGGTCCCAATCCCATTTCCCACCTGAAATTTTGGCAAAATCCCGTCCCAGTTGGATTTTTATTAGAAATCCCAGTCCGAGTTATTGAAATCCCAGTCAATAAAAAAAACGTTATTTATCGGTAGAATAAACAGTTTTAAGACCTTTTAAGCCACCGTGTGCGCGCACCGTGTGGCAGAAGCGGTTGTGCTTTGCCTTTGAGGTATACAGCTATTTCAATTAAGGTTGTCCACGAGCAAAGCGGAAAAGTCGAATACGAGCGCGAAAGGCTGCTGGGAATCGCTTTGAAAATTCATTAATTTGTTAGCGATTCCCAGCAGCATTTCGCGCTCGTATTCGACTTTTCCGCTTTGCTCGTGGACAACTTTAATTGAAATAGCTGTATACTAAGGGTTAAATGAAGCTATACCGGAAACCAGGCATATATTCCGCTGTGCATCTGACTTGGGACACGCATAATCAGAAAACCCAGAATTCCGGGCACCAGAGTATGCCTGTTCACAGGTAGTGCAGTGAAATCATGACCAAAAACACCAAAAACGGATCAAAATTGTATTTTAAAATACTTAAAACGTGGAAAATTTGGAATCGACTCCCATTACCTCAATCCCATTCCCATTTTTGATGACTTCATTTCCCATTCCCAGTGGCCAAATCCCAGTCTCAGCAACCCAAATCCCAGTTCCCATTTTACCCCTTCAGGACCCTCAATATAGAACTGAAGAAATAAGAATTTTTTTCCTCGACCTCGGTCCCATTCAAAAATCCCAAAACTTAGTCGACATGTTCGTAGAAATGTTACGCAGTACTGATATATTTCAAAGAACTGTATACGTATTAACGAGTATATTATGAATGTCTGCCAAGTCTGTCATTGAATCAATGTTCAGAAAATTGCTTTTAGTTAATTTTTAATCGTTCACTTGAATTCATACTATTTTGTGATTCATTTTGATTGCTTTCTATTGTCACAGGTAGTGTGAGAAATTCTCGTAAATTGTAACAACTAGCCTGGGAAGAATTTTCCTCGTTCTTTATACTTGGCGAAGTTTTCGCAACCAAGGTTGTCACATCTATAATTGATGGATTACTTTGGCTTTCATTAGCACCTTCTACACCGGCGGACAGTTCTTTAGCATTAGAGGACTTCAAAAATTCGTATACATCATAAACTGATAAACTACGGTTTCGTAACTCGCCCACTGACCGTTCACGACTGGCTGTGTTTACCTGCAAACCACCGCTACCTGACTCGAGGAAGTTAAGAAATTCGCCTAAGTCGTATTTAACATCAGGTTCCCTGATGGAATCTGTCTCCAAGGAATTGGATCGTGGTTTTGCGTCCTGAGGCTGAGGATTTACTTTTTTTATTGAATGACGGCGGGCAACGTCTGGTAACATTAGAAACTCGTTTAGATTGTAAACGGAGTTTCGTTGTCCAGATGTTTTTGGCTTTTCTAGCGTTGAGTGGCGCTCACTCTTCCTGGGAAAGTCGTCACTTGGAAAATTAGCTTTAGGTAGTTCACGACTGTGTCGTATCAATTGTTTTGTCTTAGGAGAATCGTCATTCAAGTTCCAATCTGCAACAATGACGGACGGAATTTCTCGCTTCTTAGTTGATTTGGCGGCGCCTTTTCCTTTTGCAGCTTTTTGGGGTCGCATTTCTTTTAATTTCTTTTGCCCAACACCTGTCAAATGTCTTGACGATTCTGCCGACAGTGATAAAAATTCAAAAACATCGTAAGTACAATCATCGATCGATGATTTGGACTTAGGTGATAATTTTACAGGCTTTTTCTCATCGTGTTGCGTAAGGTTAGCTTTGCTATTTAAACATGGTGACATTGAATTTATTTTGTGTTCAGCCTTAGAGGGTAGTGATAGAAACTCGCGTAAATCATACGTTGATCTTTTACGCTCTTTACCAGAGTTTGCCCTCTCGACACGCAAACCAGTCCCTACGGATGGCTTGGCCGCCTTGTCTTCACGAGCTTGTGGTCTAATTGTTGATGTTCCTGTAATTGTGCTACTCTGTCTTTCCCTGCTTGCTGCTGGCTTTTCTATGAGTGCAATTGACTCTTCGTTGTTTAGGATATGATAACCCTTTGGTCTCATCTTAATGTTTTTTCCGTTACGCGGTGTCTTCGACAAAGAGCTTTTAACTCGTTTCTGGCCATTTTTACTAACAGCCTTGACTCTATCCATTTTCTCCTCAAACGGTCCAGCTGTTTCGGCATATCGTGGCTCCTCAAAATTAAACTGCAGAGATAAATTGGATGGACTTCTTGGACACTTGTAGTCGCCAGTCGGAGTAAGAAGTTTTTCTGTAATGAACGGTGAAGGGAGGTTTGAACTGTAAGACGGATCTCTTTCACGTCCGATCTGCATTATCGCCTCCTGTTGCGGAGTATATCTTGTAAGTTGCCTTGTAGATAGTGGGGGAAGACGAACCTTTCCCCTAGATCGTTTTGAATGTAGCAATTCCTTAGAATTCTCAACTGCTGAACTTTCCGTTGAGAGGTTTATCATATTCGCTATGAGCCCCGAACGAATGCCAAATTGCTATATATAGTTCCCTAGACACACGTCTTTTAAATAATACGTTTCGTAAACGATTAAATTAATATTTTTCCCATGACGTCTCGAGAGATATCATTCGAAATTTAACCAAATATAGACTTCAAATTTCTAGACACGTCTTTCACAGGTGAAGAAGTTCCTGTTATCTATGAATAGCGTTATAAAACGAGATAGTACATGAGCTTATTCGTTTCCTAGCAGGTTCGTTAGTGCGATGATTATTTCATGTATAATGAGCTTTTCGTACAAGAAGCCAATGGAATCGCCTTGTTTACGTAGACACAGCAGCTGCTTCGAAAAATGCAAATTGATAGTGACATAGGAAAACTATAGCTTGTATATTAGCAGACTACATTGTCTAGACCAAACAACGTATATTCAGAAGAGTAGTATTTTTACACAAGAGTAGTACACAAAAACCATAGATCATGCGTCTTTTCATACTGAATTTTATGCAAATATTCTTTAAGTGTACAACTATATTTAGCATATTCGTCAATATTTAATAACATAAAAAGAATTTAAATACACTCCTACTCTGGATAAATGGCATTTTCACGTGGATTTACATTTAGACAGCTGAACAGTTTGCAGAAGTAGTTAGAAGTGCGCACGTAGACGCCAGTAAGAATTCCTCTTTTGAACGCACTACAATAATAATTCTATTTTTGGAAGTTGATTTTAAGAAATGTTAATTTTAAAAAAATTTGAAGGGCAAAGATCAAGTTAAGTCAAAAGAAAATGTGCCCGTGTTGTGCTTATTGTTGATTGAGGGGGCAGGCCGGACACAGTCAGCTCTATATACATGCTAATATGCACTTGCGAATATAAACTGGCGCACTTTCAAGTTAGATATGTAACAGTCCCATTAAGCCGGCATGTGTTACAAAATATATTTCACTAGAATTACATATGTGCATGCAGCAATCCCTAGTATGTTAAAACGAAACAACGGCTACAGGTTTCCAAACATTGTTTCAATGTAACCCTTTCTCGAGCCGACAATGGGTAAAGACCTACCTAAAATGACCATGTTTTGTGATTGGCTTTCAGAAACAAATCGGAAACAAAAATGATCATTGTTCGTCACTATACTTCTTTAGAAAGACGATTTCTATAGTTTTATTGTCTTTCATTGTTATAATCAACCAACCACGAGCTTGGATAGTATAGGTAGATGATGACCCACAATTAAAACAATATATTAAATTGAATGTAGTAATTCTGCTTTTTTACGATTTATTTAATTTAAGAAAGTCACCCCGGCGCTGAATGACTGAAATATAATTAAACGCGGAAAACGGTCATGTATATACTATATAGGCAGCACTTTTACAGCTACAAAATACGGCATGTTGTAAAACGTGGACTGGACTAAACTCGTAAGAAAGCGACTCGAATCTCGATCTGATATTGATATTCACGTTTTGCTATGGTTACTAATGTGCTGTTCCTTGGCGATATGGTGACACTTGTGGCTGCATGTTTGCCATCAGAAGAGAACACATTTATCATCATTCCTTTTATTTTCGTCTATACCTATAATTTTATGATATACTCGTGTGATACTGACATACTGTACTTGTTTATGGTTTGTTTGATCCGGATAAACCCATTCATACCACAGATCCTTACGTTATTAAAGACCTTGGATAATCAATGGCCGAAATTACTAAGACTCAACTAAGATGTAAATCTTGTTTTGGAGATCATTCAGGTTGCCATATGTGGGGTACAGGTCTTATACAAGTCCAGTCCGCGTTAAGCGTTTAGTAAAAGTACAGGTCCGCGTTTTTTTGAAAAGATGACAAAAAAGGCACAGTAAAAGCGAAAAAATCAACTTCGCTGTTTTTTCTTCAAACAGTATTTTCACATGTTTTATACTCTCGTTTATAACAATCCGCCTTATGTTTGAGATCGATCGGTGGTGGGAGGTCCACCCATGAATCATATAGCCACGTGCCCATGACTTTTCACAAGCTAAATGTTATAGAAGTAGGTTTAACAATATTGTATTGCATACAATAGCATTACAACACCAATAGATTAGAACGGCTGACTATGTATACCGTTTTACTCGTTTGAGCGCCGCGGCGCTCTTTAAATTTTCAGAGCTTCAGATGCGGCGCTCATTCGGGGGCGGCGCTCAATCGGGGGCGGCGCTCTTTAAAAAAAAAAATTTATTTGTGAATTATAACAAGAACTTTTAACAATGAAATAAACAAGTATTAAATATTTTCGTCACTAAATGTCTCCATTTTGACGGTGGAAAGTTTTTACACTGTTTAGTGCGGCGCTCATTCGGGGGCGGCGCTCTTTAAACATATTTGATCTCAAATGCGGCGCTTATTCGGGGGCGGCGCTCAATCGAGGGCGGCGCTCAATCGAGTAAATACGGTATGTATATATATATTATTCAGTTCCACAGACAACTCGTACATAAACATATTACGACCAGACATAACTTTTAACACTCCTACATTGTCATTTTTTGTTCATCACCACATTGAAACGAGTGAATTTTGCGAAAAGCAGTCATCAAATTTTAAACTCAATTTAGTCAACTTTGTCAAAATTATGCGGGATGATTGCTGCCGACCTGACGTCACAAGCTAAAGCTCTCTGATATAAATGTCTGCAACGATACCTTTTCGGGAGAACTATGCTACAATTAGTACCGAACGATGCCCAAAAATTTCGATATTTAAAAATTCTTTAATATCTTCTTGTAGTTCTTAACTCTTTCCAGCCATGTCAATCATACAAAACACTTTACCCTTCTTGCTAAGCTTTCTTTCAACAATTTAACGCACCCAAAACGCAAACGATCGACACATGCCATATCGGCAAAATAACGGTTTTATCGGCAAATTGTTAAGTTTTCGTAATCAGCGAAAATATTTTAAGTGGCTCGGATTAAATAGTAATAGTTTATATAGCAAAAATTTTGATAAATTTAGGAAAATATTTCCGAAAAATTTAATTAATTAGGAAATAACGTCCGATGTTGTCATAGCAACAGGTGGCTAAGGGGGGAAATGAAGGGGATGGGGTAAAGTCGTGTATTTTGCATTATTATGATATATTTTTTAAAAAATTGAAAATTCCTGAAAAATTCAGTAAAGGCTCTATTTTATCACTACATTAGTATTTCCAGAGCTGTACAAATTTATTTATAACTATTCATTTTATGTAGAACTTGGGATTTGTGTGGAAATATTCCAAAACAAAACTTCAGTTTCGAAGTGTTAAACAACAAAAAATTTATTCCTTCATTTAGATTGTACTAAATAAAATCATTCTGTTGGCAGTAAATTATTATTTTGTTCTTTACATTTCTTTCTTAAGATTTATTTTATTCCTTTTCAAAACTAATTTTCATCGCTATATATATTACCTTTCTCTATCAATTAATTTTTAATTTATTTTACCAACAACCTTAATATGCTTAGTATGCTTCCGCGGCCAATGTAAATGAATAAATAAATAAAAATAAATAAACAAAGCATAGCTGTAAAGTTCAACCACTAAGGTTGCACAATGAATACCTCAATACAACGGACAAAAAAATTCTGCGAGCCTTGGCTAAGATTAAGTTTTTACCAACTTTTGGTAAGCAGACCGCTGGCTTTCTTCCGTTTCCCTTTTGCTTAGATCCAGCTCCGTGTAGCCTGGTAAATTTCTTACCATTTCCATGTCTTCGTACGACTTTCTTCTCTCATGACCTGGTATAACATAATCTGAGTCTCGCTTTAGTAGTTTCTGATAGGTACCATCATCCGTTGTATTTCTGTCTTGGAGCTCTGTATAACCAGGATTTTCTGGCGATATTTTGGGCACTTCATAGTCTACACTTTCGTAGTGCAGTTCCTCTGAAGCCGGTATTACGTAGCCGGTATCTTCTTTTAAATGTGCTTGACATTGCTGACAAACACCATCGCCCTTCGCCCACTTTTTGAAGATATCTTGTTGTTTATCAAGCTTGGTGTTCAGTGTCGAACAACCCAAAGCTCCGTTTGCACTTGTGTTCGGCACTTCAGTTTCAGGGATCACTTCATAACATGGACTAACTGGCTCCTGTTTTGATAATAATGATAATGAGTTACATAATGGCACAGGGTGTGGTTGCTCAATTCACTCGAGCCAGAGGCTCGACAACAAAAATGCAGGGTTAGTTTTTGCTGAGGGAGGAAAATAAATAAATAATCAGGAGCACCCGGAAAAAAACCCGAAGCAGATATTAGGTTCAAGTATACAACGTAAACAAACTTTATTTATATTGGATAGCTCTATCCGTTCTAAACTGTTCTACAAACTAAGTGGTACATAAGTAACAACCATTCATATAGTTTAGTTTAGTTTAGTTTAATAACTTCATCATCAAAACAAATTACAACAGATGATAGGTGAGCAGACAGAGCGTGGCCACAATTGAATCTGCCTACTATATATAATGTGGATAAATAATTTACCTCATCAATTGGCAATGATTCAGGTGGAATTTCAACTGCTTCCAGCGGGATATCGACAGGAGTTGGAAGCCGCGTCCGTCGTTTGTATTTTACAAACAGGACGATAAGTGCGATGCCAAGAAATACACCGACACCCACTGTTGACGCTATGATACTCATGACTGAATAGAAGTAACAAGAATTTAGTTTATACAGTGATTTGATTGAGGCCTGTCTCTAAGTTCAGTCTGTCTGTATGGAATACGTCAAAAATTCTATCCACGGTGCTACAAGCATTTTTGTTATTTATTTAAAAGAATTCTCGATTTCTGATTGACCAGTAGCCAACGTTAATAATGTAATACGAGTAAAAATTGTTGCAATTGACGATTATTGTACAACGCAGGACTTGCTACGTAGCGGCTGAAGAGAGATACTGCGCACCCAAATGACACGTTCAACATAATGCGGCATTAATGCAAACAAAAATGCAGACTTTATGAAATTAAAACAAAAAAATGAATCTAGCTTTTGCCCAAATGTATTTGGCTTTCTAAATTGTGTGTGTGTGTGTGGTCGGAGGGGGAGGTAATTGCCTTCTGACAGTTTCTGACAGCGACAAGTCCCATGCGGGGTGTCAGCCAAACACTATGTCTGCAAATTTCCGACTGGCAATTGCCCCGACCCCTGTTTCGTACATTTATATAAGGATCGCTATATAATCATTCGTTTGTTTGTCGTAAGGTTAAGGATAGTTAAATTAAGGATAAATTAGCATACTGACTGAGCTGCTTGAAAATATGTATATAAATACGCCTCTGAAAATATGCATATCAAAGACAAAGTATTCAACTGTTCTATCTCCATTTGTGTTTCCCAGATAGCGATAACACGGTCATCACATAATTTTTGTACTAGAATATTTCGTCTTCTGTGTAAAGCAAAACAGTGAGAAACTAATGTTTTTCGAGTGATGATTCTTAAATCATGATTGAATAGTTGCATATTTTGATATGGATATTTTTAATATATGGATACATATAAACATGGTGGTTTCTAGAAAAATAATACAATTTAAGTTACTTACGTCCATGAGATATGTCAACCAATTTGAAAGTCATTGAAAACCTTCTCCCAATTATGCTATTATTTGTTTTGTAAGTATCTTTGAGAAGGTGGTCAATAGAATCCGTTCGAATGTTCATCTCATCAGGAATTACACTTCCACAATTTTCATACCACCAACTATATCAGTAAACATCACCAATATCTTGTCGTCACAACGGGCATCTAACGATACCATAAAGTCTTTAAATGGGCTTTGCCAAAGGTTGTGTGAAAAAAACTTAATATCAGGTTGTTCGGGGGTGGGAGGTGGAAGAGCTAGGACTATATTTTCCTTAAATATTTGATATTCCTACTTCGATCTATGCAGGGGTATATTCATTCCAATTCTGGTTTCAAATCTTTAATACCTCTACCCTATTATTCCTACCCCAAATATTCACATTCCCACCATCGATATTCGTGCTACTTCAAAACCCAGTATTTAATATGCAATATTTATCTTCAACCCCCGAAGCCGCCTGTGACAAGTCTATAATAACTTGCAACAAACTGGGAAAAGCGGTACGGATAGAACCTGATATCAGCTGGTTCGAACAACATTGTGATAACTCATATAACATTAAGAAAAGATTACCAAAAGTGGTGAGATTAGTTAAAGTTATTTTCAGTATTTTGTTTGGAGGAATCTCTAACCCAAGTCTACAATCTACGCGGTTTCCATGGAACTCCGGATACCATGGTGACGTAATGATAATACCAGTCTCATCCATTATAATATTTCTCGTTGGACACACACTGATCTGTTGTGGTTTATCTGAAAAATAAATTATTATTAAATTGTTGTTATTATATAGCTAATTCAAAAAAGGTTGTCCTTTGCAAACCTTAAACTCTAAACCTTAAACTCTAAGCGTGCAAAGCATAATGGGAGCATCATTTAATCAGTTTAGAAATCGTTTATGGAGCCCATTTCTTAGAGACATGGTAAATATCTCCTTACGAGAACAATTCATCCACAAATAGCTGCAATATTCAACTACTAAGCTTGAAACTTGTGCTCCCATTAAGCTTTGCGCGCTTAGAGTTTAAGGTTTGCAAAGGACAACCTTTTTTGAACTGGCTGTATATCGATATCATCACCACTATCACCGTTACCACCCCCATCATCACCAGTACTACCACCATCACCACCACCACCACCATCATCATCACCACCATCATCACCACCATCATCACCACCATCACCACCACCATCATCACCACCATCATCACTACCATTATCACCACCATCATCACCACCATCATCACCCCCATCATCACTACCATCATCACCACCATCATCACCACCATCATCACCACCATCATCACCACCATCATCACCACCATCATCACCACCATCATCACCACCATCATCACCACCATCATCACCACCATCATCACTACCATCATCACCACCATCATCACTACCATCATACACCACCAAAGTTAATTATTTTGTTCCTATGCATGAATTGTAAATACGGGCATAATCTACGATATATAGCGCGCCGTGAAAACCGTGTTACTTTCTTTCAACCTGCCTGGCAAACGCTAAACGCAAGCTTTTCTTTTCTTCGTAACAACATGGATCTTCCACGGCCTCGAAAAGAGCTCGACTCTAACAGAATACGAAATTCACTTCGTGCGAACATTCTCACTTTGGTAAGTGTGAATAATACTATGACTATGTAAATATTAAGCACATGTTGTAATTACATGTATACTTGGCAAACGAGTGTACTGCTTTATTTTGTTTGTTGTCTATACTGCCTATACTTCAAACAGCATAACATAATTAAGTGACTGCAAATGTTCTTAAACGGTTTAGATATCAGAAGACTGCAAAGCAGTATCGTGCAGAGCTGTTTGGCGTGTGTGTCGTGACGATGTCGAACTTGCCCACAACCAGATCGCATCGAAAAGGCTGGACCTAGACGATGTCCTATCAAACATAAGTGGCGTGCAATTCTTCTTTTCCTGCATCACGTGTGTAACGTCGAACGCCAGATCCGCAGAAGAAGATCGAACACGCGAAACGTATCCATCCATTGCGTATTTCGTGGTATATCGAGAAAACGCCGCATGCAATGGAACAACCCTATTTTCAGCACTTCACAACCACGATGTTGAGCCTGAGATTTCACCGATCAGGGTGAGAACGAAGAACGTGCCAGACAAGCAGATGGAAACGGCGGCAAGGCAACTATTCCAAGTGGTGAAAGACCACAACAATGAAGCCATCCAGGAAATGTTAGACGTCTCTAACGTTTACTGCTACCAGAACGTAGTCGGGTCAGACGAAGAGGATTCGGAAGACGAGGAAATTAGGCCTACGCACTTTCCCACTTCTCCGTGTGCATTGGTGATCGTGAACCAACGAGAGTTTTCTGAACGCATATTGGCAGCTGCTGAGAGACTACGTTCTGATGGACTCGTGGTGGACATCGACATGTCACGTGAGGACAGTTTCAGACGCCCGACCGAAATCGACACGAGTGACGTGTCTGCAATTATAACTAAAATCGAGAAGACAATGAGATTATGTGATCACGCCCTCTTTCGTTCGCAAATATACGCAAAACCAGCCGGAGCGACATTTACATACGTGAGAATGATGGATGTTACAAGTTACCTGCACAAACTGCTCTCCAATGATTGCTTAAAAGAGGGTGTGATGAAGCACTTTCACATGCTAGAGAAATTTCTAAGCCATCCAGCGTGCGAAGTAATCCCGCAGTTGCAGGTCGATGTTGACCTCGTCGAAGTTTCCAACGGGTTCTGCTTCTCCATACGAAACCGTAGCTTTCGTCAGTGTCCAATCGATGAGTCGATGCGTGGAAAAATCTCCCCGAGAGCGTTCGTGCCGTACGATTGTTCCACCCCACCAACCCCAGCCTACTTTCGAGATGCCATCCTTAACTCATTCGAAGATCCGACGGTAAGAGTAAACTTCCTCAACAAATTTTATCAATGTTTAATCCCGTCCGGAATGCCACAGAAAGTGAGAAAACTGGTCGTTGCTGGTCCTAAAGACTCTGGAAAAACGTCTTGGGCGAGCGTCTTCCATCGCATTATCCCTGCCGAAAGTATTGCTTCCATAACCAACGAACGTCAGTTTTCAGCGTCCATGGTAACAGACGACACGCAACTGGTGATCGTAGACGATTGGTCTCCAAACACAATGCAGTCCGACCTTGCAAAAACCATACTCCAAGGTGGTTGGATGGTTACGGCTGTTAAACACGGTGAACCGAGACGAGTTATGAACAACAGTCCCTATTATATAACGACCAACAACGTTCCTGACTTTCGTGATGAGAACGAGAACGTTGAAAGGAGAATCCAGGTGTTCAACACAACATCTTTACCCTCGACGACACCTGGTATAGATCGGTGGATCTACGATAACGCCATGGATTGCATCGTGTGGATTGCTGAACAACTTGAAGCACACTATCAACACATCGCTAAGGATGAATTGTGGTACGAGCCAACCGTCACGAGAAACCTCACCATACCGAACAACGAAGGCCCCTCCCTTTTCCAACTCCATCATGTTCGTGATATCTGCCCTGCCGACTTCGAAGACGCAAATACATCCACGCTAGAAACCACGCCCACCATCCATGAAAGGTTCGTTCAGGAATATCGCACCCAACACCTTGAGGGAAGAAGACGACGTGCACGTGGTTGTATAATGGACACGGACGAAGATAACATTTTGGACAATTGGGAAAATCCACCCTCATCTGGTAGCGAAATGTCCAGAAATGGCGGTATTGTCCAGACGCAACCAACAGCAAATGCAATCGGCGAGCTCGATATTCACCTACAGCCATCAATGCCCACTACACACGAAGGCCGACACGACCAAGAAACAGATATTCACGCACAGCGATCAGCCTCCACTACACCAGAAGCAGCGAACGAGCAGGAAACAGATCTTCACGCACAGCCATCAGCGTCCATTACACACGAAGCGGCACACGACCAACAAACAGATCTTCACGCACAGCCATCAGCGTCCACTACACACGAAGCGGCACGCGACCAAGAAACAGATCTTCACGCACAGCCATCAGCGTCCACTACACACGAAGCGGCACACGACCAAGAAACAGATCTTCACGCACAGCCATCAGCCTCCACTACACACGAAGCGGCACACGACCAAGAAACAGATCTTCACGCACAGCCATCAGCCTCCACTACACACGAAGCGGCACACGACCAAGAAACAGATCTTCACGCACAGCCATCAGCGTCCATTACACACGAAGCGGCACACGACCAAGAAACAGATCTTAACGCACAGCCATCAGCGTCCACTACACACGAAGCGGCACACGACCAAGAAACAGATCTTCACGCACAGCCATCAGCCTCCACTACACACGAAGCGGCACACGACCAAGAAACAGATCTTCAAGCACATCCATCAGCCTCCACTACACACGAAGCGGCACACGACCAAGAAACAGATCTTCACGCACAGCCATCAGCGTCGACCACACGAGAAGCAGCGAACGACCAAGAAAAAGGGAATGATCCTGAAGCAAGTCGTGCACCAACTTCGCTAGATAGTCCCACACCACCTGCAGATCTAGATCATCTGATATCAACTCCACCAGAAGGTTGGCAACTCAATTCTAAAACTTATTTTCAGAAGGTAGCACATCTGATCAAATGGTGCTTCAACAAAAAAGAAGTGAGAAAGGCACACGTCCACCATTACCAAGAACGCCTGAGAAAGGCAGAACTACGACGAACACCTGAAGAACGGAATTACTGGGTGGTTCCTGATCCAACAATTGATGCCTCCATGCTGATGTTGGGACGGCAGCGAAAGATTTTTAACATGGAAGGATTTGCTCGTGCATTTCCACAAACAAGTGCTCATTTAGAAAATCTGCGGAAAAATGCAAATGTTCGGGTGATGCGAGACCGTTGTCCATTTTCCCTAGCGGTGCAAGCCCTCAGAGTGAAGAGCGGAGAAGCGGAGGAAGAAGTTGAAGAAGAACAGGAATTAGACAGGGACGGAAATCCTGCAAATCCGCCACTAAGTTCCCAAACGTATTGGACTAAAATTAAGACTTGGCGGCCATGGTAGAAATAAACGTTCTGTACAGATCAGTTTCTTTCAGATTTTTGTTCTGTTGTAACAAAATTTTACAATGCTGTAGAGATAAATTCTAGTGACATGAACGAATTTATTTAGAGTCGACTAATATTTTGATTTATATCATTATACTATTTAAATTTGTGATTTACAGGTGACCAGAAAATTAGAATTTCTTCGAAAACATTTCTCGGCACAAATTTGATTTGAAAAGTGAAACTTTTATTGCCAGTAAATACTTGGATGTTAAAATAAAACATTGGAAATTCTTTGTCTTTACGTAATATACTACAATACAAACACATATGTACACACTAGTTTAATAATGTCGAAATATTATGTTCTAATTTTCTGAGATGCACCTATAATATATTGTATATATGCTTGCGTTATTATTATTGACAAGAAGTTCAATGTTTCGTGTTCATATTAATTAATTTGACAATAGCTTTATTCTTAAACCAGAACGAGTAAATACTGTTGAAACGTTGAACTAAGCAAAACTCAGCAACAAGGTTGTCGTATGTGAATAAAAAATTATTACTGTAGTAATGCAAAATATGCTTCAAATATAAAGTGATATATGAAATTAAACAACAGTTCAATTCTCCTCAAAACTGACCGGCTACCAATATAATTTCCAATACCTCTTATAGGTAGCCGGGCGTTAAATTTTCCCTAAGTGTTGTTTAAGCTATAGTCAGAATTAGAAAATTTGTTGGAAAATATTCTAAGTCTTTTGTAAGCGAACCTTTGAAAAAGACTTGGAAAAATTTCAACCACCGGCTACCGAGCGTTGGTAGCCGGGCGTTGATTTTTTTCTAAGTGTCGAGCGAATTTAGTTTCCCTCAAATCTGACCGGCTACCGGCTACCAATATAATTTCCAATTAAAAGCACCGGCTACCGACCGGCTACCAGTCAAAATGACCGGCTACCTCTTATAGGTAGCCGGGCGTTGATTTTTTTCTAAGTGTAGTTTAAACTATAGTGAGAATTAGAAAGTTTGTTGGAAAATAAGTCTTTTGTAAGTGAACCTTTGAAAAAGACTTGGAAAAATTTGAACCACCGGCTACCGAGCGTTGGTAGCCGGGCGTTGATTTTTTTCTAAGTGTCGAGCAAATTTAGTTTCCCTCAAATCTGACCGGCTACCGGCTACCAATATAAT